AGGTTCTCAGTTTAACATTTTTATCAAAAATTAAAGAATTTCTGCTTTGTATGTTTTATGTAACAATATATTGGGTCTCTTAACAACCTGAAAGGAAATGAGCCGCATCACGACAAAACCAACATAGTGCGTTTGCGACCAGCATGGATCCAGACCAGCCTGCGCATCCGGGCAGTCTGATCAGGATCCATGCTGTTCGCTATCAGTTAACTCTAACTTTGTATTAGGGTTTGGTAAGGGAACAGAAAATCCTGATCGACTGCGCGGATGCGCGGATTGGTTTGGAAATCGCATGCTGGGCACAACCCATTAGTTGGTTTTGTCATGGCACGGCTCAAATGGCTATAATGTAGCGCTTACTGCTACTAATTGTAAACAGTCATAATTGAATACATTATAAACAAAAAGCCTTAATTAACACACATTTAGTGGGGTTTGATTTCAACAACTGGGATTGTTTTTTATCAGGGAATTTAAATTTTTATAGAAAACTGGGGGAAAACTTTTAACCCGTAATTAAAAATGAAAGTAATTTAACCCCAAAAAAGAAAAAAAGAAAATTTGTACAGTTTATTTTTTTGAGCAAAAACTGAAAAATTTTTGGTTTAAAAATTTTAAAATTGGGGCCCCGCATTAGTTTTTTTTTTAAAAAGGGTAACATCCACATTTTCTATTAAGGGCCCCTTGGGTTCCCGCTTTTTTTATCTTATTAAACTGATAAAAAAAAATTATATGACATTTTTTTAATTTAAACCCAAAAAAGCCAAACCCCAAATTGACCCAAGAATAAAAATTTGGGGTTTGGGGGTTTGGGGGGGAGGGGGTCCCCAACTTTGGACAAAAAACCCCCCCGGGGTTTTTTTAAAAATTTGTTTCCCCAAAAATGCCCCTTACTTAAAACACAAAAATTTAATAATTTTGGAGGGAAAAATTTCAGAAATTTTTAAAAAAAAATTTTTTTAAAGTTACAGTTAGTAAATAACAAATACGGTTTCCCGGTTTTGGGAAAAACATAAAATTAAAAAAATTTATTGGTTGTGTTTTTTTCATAAAAGGAAATTTTGGGGGTGGGGGTGTTGTCAGGGAAAGGGGATGTTTGGGTTTTTAATTAAATTTTTAACAAATTGGGGGGGTTTTTAAATATAAAAATTTTGTGGGGGTTTTGGGGAAAATAGTGAGGGTAATGTGGTTTGTTGGGGGAAAAATAGTGAGGGAAAATTGGTTTTTGGGTTGGGGGAATATAGTGAGGAAAATTGGGGTTTTTGTTGGGGGGAAATTTGTAAGAGTGTAAAGTGGGGTTTTTGGGTTTTTGTAAATTATTTGGGGTATATAGTAAGGAGTGGTAGTGTGGCTGTGTTGGGTAATATTAGTAAGAGTGTATGTGGCTGTGTTGGGTAATATAGTAAGAGTGTAATATGTGGCTGTGTTGGGGTAATATAGTAAGAGTGTATGTGGCTGTGTTGGGGTAATATAGTAAGAGTGTATGTGGCTGTGTTGGGGTAATATAGTAAGGAGTGTATGTGGCCTGTGTTGGGTAATATAGTGAGAGTACATGTGGCTGTGTTGGGGTAATATAGTAAAGAGTGCATGTGGCTGTGTTGGGGTAATAATAGTAGAGTGTATGTGGCTGTGTGTTGGGGTAAATATAGTGAGAAGTATAATGTGGCTGTGTTGGGGTAATATAGTAAGAGTGTATGTGGGCTGTGTTGGGGTAATATAGTAAGAGTGTATGTGGCTGTGTTGGGGTAATATAGTAAGAGTGTATGTGGCTGTGTTGGGGTAAATATAGTGAGAGTAATATGTGGGCTGTGTTGGGGTAATGATAGTGAGAGTATAATGTGGCTGTGTTGGGGTAATATAGTAAGAGTATATGTGGCTGTGTTGGGGTAATATAGTAAGAGTGTATGTGGCTGTGTTGGGGTAATATAGTAAGAGTGTATGGTGGCTGTGGTTTGGGGTAATATAGTAAGAGTGTATGTGGCTGTGTTGGGGTAATATAGTGAGAGTGTATGTGGCTGTGTTGGGGGTAATATAGTGAGAGTATATGTGGCTGTGTTGGGGTAATATAGTAAGAGTAATATGTGGCTGTGTTGGGGTAATATAGTAAGAGTGTATGTGGCTGTGTTGGGGTAATATAGTAAAGAGTGTATGTGGGTTGTGTTGGGGTAATAAATATAGTAAGAGTGGTATATGTGGCTTGTGTTGGGGTAATATAGTGAGAGTATATGTGGCTGTGTTGGGGTAATATAGTTAAGAGTTGTATGTGGCTGTGTTTGGGGTAATATAGTAAAGAGTGTATGTGGGGTTGGGGTTTTTGGGAAAAAATAGTAAGAGTGTCGGCCCGTTTTGGGGGGAATAAGAAGGTGTAGGGCGGTTGGGTTTTAAAATAAGGGAAAAGGAAAGTGGCGTGTTGGGGGAAAAGGGAATAATTGGGGGTTGGGGGAAATAGAAAAGTGTAAGGGGGTGGTATTAAGGGTTTGTACTAATGTTTCCCGGTTTTTTTAAATAGTAAGGTAATGTGAAATTTATGTTGTATGTGGATTGTGCTCTTTGATTGTCTATTCTGCTATATTTTATTTATTCCCATTTACCAAAAGGCATGAATTGCAAAAGATACAGTATCACATAGCTTCCTGTTTTTAGATATATAAAGTTATCATTGAACAATTAAATTATCTTGTTTACAATATATATATCGTTATATTTGTAAGATAAAGATCATGTTTAGTGATAATATGTCTGATAATTTTATCAAAATGAAGATAATTCAGAAAACTGTATTCTCAATTTATGAAAATAACAAGTAAGCTAGTCATGTAATATCCTTTTGGTATAACATTGACCCCATTTCTTGCCACTAGACCCATATTGTATAGATGTTGCTTTTGGTCTAACTGTGACCCTGTTTTTTTGTCATTTGACTGATATACATGTTGCTTTGAAACTTGAAAGTTTTTGATATTTGATCATTACCAATATTTCAGTTTCTAGTCATGAGTATATATAACTCTCACCTAGCATTTAACAAATGCTTGCAACTTTTTCAGCTTCAAGAGCTTCCATAAAAGTTCTTATATCATTTTACTGTTTAACTGAACACATTAAGTATGGTTTTGCAGCTGAGAATACTTATTTTTATCATCTCCACTTGTCAGCAAAAGTATATAACTATTGTCATTGACTGACAAAATAATGCCAAATGTTTTAGAGACCTGTTGCTCGTTCTTTAACAAGTACACTGTATTGAGAATAGTGAAGCACCATGGCAGGGAGCTGTAGAGTTGGGTGCAGTTTGTTGGCTCATTTGTTAAACATTGCAACTGCTATACATAGTTTTTATCTGATTATAAAGTTGTACTGGTATGTGTGTTGTGTAATTGAGTTTTGTGTCAATGTTTTGTTAAACTGCCAGTATTCTAGACATTAATGTCTTTAATTAAGGGCTGCCAGTGTTCTTTAATATTAAGATGCCAGTATTGTATTGTGTATAGTAATGACATAATCTGTTCAAATATAACATTCTAATTGATAAATGATATATAGGACAGACAGGAACAAAGGACCTAGCAAATCTTTGTTCTTTATTTATGTTTCATTCATCACATTGTAAAGAAATCACTTCCTCTCATGATATACTCACAGAAAGTTTATTATGACACAATTTTCTTCACATGTCATGTAGTTTCCTTTTTGACAGTTTAGTAAATAATGGTGTTTATGATTTATTTATATTGTGGAATGTAAACTTCCTGATTAATTTGTCATCTGCTTGATTAAAGCATAATTGGTTGAGTTTAAATAAGATACTTGTTGTTTACTTTATGTATGTTTACTTTACATAAAAACAAATTACTATCATTGTAATGGTTTTGTTTTTGTTTTTTAATGATAAGTTTTAGATAATTTTCTATATTTTAATGTAACATGTATAATAATTAACGAATTTGAAAATTCTAAATGGACCTAAAGTCCATTGTTTGTACCCTAAAATATGATAACAGGAAGACACCACATCCTTGCAATTTAGGGTATTTTAAGTTGTGTGACCATCCTGATCTCACCACCAGTGACACTTATAAGATAAAAAAATTGCAAATTGGAAATAATATATTCTGGTGCCACAGGACGAGAAATCTGTGCAGGACTTGAACCCAGGACCATCAGAATACTGTTACTCTGCTTTACTGACTGAGCTAGCCGGCCGCTTTACAAGTTTTCTTCTTTAAATGGTGAACAGTTCTGAATCATGACACTGGAATTATAAGTGTAAAGCTGTCATTGATTCAATAAAGAGTACATTGATAATACATTGATATCTGATATTAAACAAATATGGGCAATACACCAATATATCCAGATTTACTTTGACATATTCTGTTCATACAATTATATAATATGTGTGTGTTTATAAATGCCTATTGCACATTGTTGTTTTTTCTTACTTTTTCTTATTTCACTGCTATGAAATGTGTAACAACAGCATAATTTTGCCTGGGCACCTCAGCTTCCATTTATGTTTTGGAATTTTCATAAATTCTAGATAATTTGTTTATAAGTACAAATCATTGTTTCTGACATATCTGTAGACAGAAAAATATTGATGATACAAGTTTATCACGGCCCAAGTACATGTAAAGTGTGGTATTTCAGATGTCTTTTCTAAATTAAAGTAAATTCCCATGATTCTAGTAGATTCTAATACATCATTTGTTTACATTTAACTGTAGCAGAATTTTATATGGATTATACCTAAAATACACTTTATCTGATCAGAACTATTTGAGCTGCCCCATGACAAAACCAACATGGTGCGTTTACGACCAGCATGGATCCAGACCAGCCTGCGCATCTGATCAGGATCCATGCTGTTCGCTTTCAGTTTCTCTACTTGTAATAGAGTTGGTAAGCGAACAGCATGGATCCTGATCAGACTGCGCGGATGCGCAGCCTGGTCTGGATCCATGCTGGTCGCAAACCCAGTATGTTGGTTTTGTTGTGACGCGGCTCATTTGATATTTACAGGAAAACCCTATTCAGATAGCCTGTCAGAACAATCAGGTTGGTGTGCTGGATTTATTACTACAAAGAGATGTGCCAATTCTGCCGGGTAATATGAAAGCATGGGAGGAAGAATCACCGATCTACATAGCATCAAAATATGGTCATGTTGACATTATTCAAAAGCTGGTCGAAAAAGATCCAAGTGAGTTGTCTCCCTTTAATATTTTATTTCAATCAGATGTAAACATAGTGATAAGAAATTATGGTAGTAGTTTTTTTTAGTTTAATAATATTTTATTGCTCTTTGAATACAATTTATAACATTATTTCCACAAAACAACATTTTTAACAAAGGGCAAAAGGGTTGAACAACAAGTTCTAGCAACATTAGTAACTGTCCTTCCCTTAAGCATTATAAGATATAGAAACGAAAACATGTTTAAACACTATACACATGAGCAATTACAAAATATTAAGGCGGAAACAAAGTAGCGAATAGAATTCGACATCAAATTTAAGAGAAAAACAAAACAAAAAAAAAACATTTGCTTATTAATTTTTTAAATAAAAAAAAAAATAGTAGTAATTTTCCTGCACTTGCAGTATGTGATGGTTTGTATGGCTGTCAAAATATGTCATTTATAAGGGGAATTAGAAGAATTAATATTGGAACAACGATTGTTATTTTTACATGTACTTATTTCTTATTATTTAAATCTATGTGTATTTTTTATATATTTTTGAACCTCATGAAATAAAAAGAGTTTTCATCGATTGATAAATTTTCTTTTCCATAAAGGAGAGTACTTGTACTTAATGGATGAAAAGGGCGAGTGGAAGTGAAAAGTTGGAGTCTTTGAACACCAAAAAGTTTACAGTTAAAAAAGAAATGTTCAGCATCCTCCTCGATATGGCAAAACTCACAAACAGGGGAGTTTGCTAAGTGATTTCTATACAGATCATCATTCAAATTACTACATCTATTTCTTAAACGTGCATGGTAAACAGATGTTAACCTTTCTCCAATTAAATAATATTTAGGGACAAGTGTGGGTTTGAATTTATCCTTGAGTTTTAGTTTTGAACACATTTAAAGAAGTCGAGTCACGTATCTCATTATCAAGACTATTCCATGCCGAAATTGCTGAGGGTATAATGATCTAGAAAATATTTCTGTTCGTCGTGCTATTGTTACGTAATTATCGTTATTTCTAAGGTTATATTGGCTACTTTCTGATACAAAATTTGGGAACAAAGTGTCCAGATAACTTGGAAGCTCCCCATTTTTAGCTTTATACATTATTGATAATTTTTGCATTAAACGACGATCTGCTAAAGAGACCCAACCTATTTCATGCAGAAGTCTTTCTATAGACACTGAGCGAGTCAAACCAGTTACTAAGCGCGCAGCTTCGTATTGCATTTTTTCATTTTTTTCTTTTTCATATAAGGTACAACTATCCCAAATAACACTAGCATATTCTAATAAAGGCCTCATATAGGAAATATAAATTTGATTTAATGTTGTTCTATTTAATTTGAACTTTAATAAACGCATAGAACCTAATATTTTGGACGCCGAGTTAGTTATATTATTAATATGTTCATGCCAGGTTCCATCATCACTTAAGGTTAACCCCAAATGCCTGTGGTGTTGAGTGTAATTAAGTTGAACATTGTTAAAGTACAAAAAAGGTCTTTCATTTCTAATAAGAGAACAAAATAATACTTCTGTCTTATTAGGATTAAAGGTTACAAGCCATTGGTCTGCCCATTCAGTAATAGTTTTAAGATCAATATTTAGAGTCATTTCTATATATTTAGAATCATCGCTTGTTACCGATAAAGAACTATCATCTGCAAAAAGACGAGTCAAACTAAGTAAGTTTTCAGCAATGTCATTAACATAAATCAAAAAAAGAAGAGGACCAAGCACAGATCCTTGAGGGACACCAGCATTTATGAATTTTGTGTCAGAAAAAGAAGAACCAACAAAAACGCTTTGGTTCCTCGACTTAAGATAGCTAGCAATCCAAGTATTCAAATTATTTGTAATGCCGTACTGATGCAGTTTAAACAGTAGACCTTTATGCCAAACACGGTCAAATGCTTTAGAGATATCACAGAACACTATACAAGTTGATTTCTTTTCATCAAAAGCTTTACATATTTGATGATAAATGTCAATTAATTGATATACAGTAGAATGCCCTGGAATAAACCCGGATTGATATTTGTAAATAAGATTGTTCATATGTAAATGGTTGTAAATATATTTGAATATAATTCTTTCCATAACTTTTCCTATGCAACTTATTAAAGAAATTGGTCTGTAATTAGAACAAAGATCGTGCTCCCCTTTTTTAAATAATGGCATAACATTTGCGTTTTTCCAACATGTGGGATATGTATTTTCTTGAAGGGAACGATTAAAAAGTGTACATAGATATATGAACACTGTATTATATACTAGTCACAAATTGTAAGGGAGTTCAGAATAAATATACATATAGAATTGAGAGGCCAACACTTTAGTGCAGTTATAGGGTTTAGGGTGAGGAAAAAACTACAGACTGTCTCGGTCCTGAACCAGTAACCCTAAAATCTATTGTCCAGCAGCTCTACTGATTGAACTAACCATGTGTTTCCTTAAATTAATAAACTGTAACTTTATATGATGCCAGAGCTCACACAGATATGGTTTATAACAGTAAGAGGCACTAAGGAAATTATTGATAAAATTTATTCTTCTTTAAAATTTGAGTTATATTACTCTATTACTCTGTGTGTTTATTAACTTAAGGGTGTATTTAAAATTGAATTAACTGAAGTTGAAGTAATTTTATAGCTTTTATAGGGAAAGAAATTAAAACAAAACTAATGTATTTTTTCTTCCCATTTATACAAGGAAGTTCCTCTTAGGTGAATAAGGGGTGAATCTTGTTATGAGAGAAGATATGGGTATTATTTATTAACGTATTTTTGCCTGATAGAATTCACATATATATATATATATATATATATTTTTTTTTTGGGGGGGGGGGGGGGGGGGGTCGGTTTTGCTAACACAGAAGAGGTCATATGGTGACTTTTCAGGTTTACTGGTGAAGGAAGACCTCAGGTACCCGTCTGTATGCATTATTTCAGGCACAAGCAGGCACTTTAGGTGTTCCGTAAGCTAGCTAGATAGCTTTTTTCTTAATAAATATTTTTTAGGAAAGGTTAACTTTATATGTACATGCGTCAACTGGGAAGTGCCTGTAACTAAGCAGTTTCATAATTGAGGAAGTTTAAATATGTAATTGGCAATATAATTGGCATTAACAACCTTTTGTGTTTTTTGATAAACACATTTTCTTTTTGAAATTCTCTTTCACAGTAAGATTGCATATCAAAATTCAGGTTTTTCTTCTTATCCAAGAAATCAAGCTGTTTGAGCTGTTTGAACATAGATAGGTTGCTAGGATAGTTATCTTTTGTTACTAGAGTTGTGCAAAATTGTTTTGTACAAAACTTGAGTTTATCAAAAAAAAACCTGTACATTTTAGCATATTAATTATTTTTCTTTATAGCCCATTTTAGCTTTTACATAACATACATTATATAGTCAACATCACTTATTTCTTGTCATAATTAATCTCAAGGTTATAGCTTATATTCATGCAACTGGTGTTTATATTTTTTATACATGAAGTTGTACTGTATTTTTCATAAACCTAGAAAAACGAGTTTTCTAAAGTATGTTAAATAATTGTTTGTTTGTCAGTGAAAAAAAGAACAACATTTTACTCATTTTTGCAAAAAAAAAATTCCAAAAGTTCATTAACATTAAGTCTGCCTGAAACAGTTGTTAGTTTCTAACTATTTGGGGATGTCTCTAGTTCGTATCCATCCATGAAGGAATCTTTTTAGATGCATCTGCCTGTTATTAACTATAAATATTTTTAAGAATTAACTATCCCTTCTTCCAACAGACTTATATTACATGTACTACCAGTTGTCATTTCCCTACAAACACCTTTTAGTTTACTTTAGTTTGATTGTTTAAGATGCTATGAGCTTTTGAAACACCTAGATCTGATCCTGGAATCAGTGCTAGACAATGGTTGTGTAAAATTTCTTGCCTTTGATAGTGACTGAACCCACAAGACAAGCAGTCCTGAGAAAACGGGTCTCACGTGTTAAACCTTTCAACCACACTGCCAACCAGATTCCCTCATTGCCTGTAAATTTAAATGTTCAGCATACACTTTTTCATATACATGTATGTAATTACATATAAGTTATATTATTGCAACTATTAATTACAGCACATGTTTACAGATTCAGGTCTGATAACAGCAATGTTTACTGATTCAGGTCTGATTACAGCACATGATTACTGATTCAGGTCTTATAACAGCACATGATTACTGATTCATGTCTGATTACAGCAATGTTAACTGATTCAGGTTTGATTACAGCACATGATTACTGATCTGATTCAGGTCTGATTACAGCACATGATTACTGATTCAGGTCTGATTACAGCAATGTTAACTGATTCAGGTTTGATTACAGCACATGATTACTGATCTGATTCAGGTCTGATTACAGCACATGATTACTGATTCAGGTCTGATTATAGCATATGATTACTGATTCTGGTCTGATTACAGCACATGATTACTGATTCAGGTCTTATTACAACACATGATTACTGATTCAGGTTTGATCACATCACATGTTAACTGATTCAGGTCTTATTACAGCACATGATTACTGATTCAGGTCTTATTACAGCACATGATTATCAGGTTTGATCACAGTACATGTTTACTGATTCATGTTTGATAACAGCAATGTTTACTGATTCAGGTCTGATTACAGCACATGATTACTGATTCAGGTCTGATTACAGCACATGATTACTGATTCAGGTCTGATTACAGCACATGATTACTGATTCAGGTCTTATTACAGCACATGATTACTGATTCAGGTCTGATTACAGCACATGTTTACTGATTCATGTATGATCACAGTACATGTTTACTGATTCAGGTCTTATTACAGCACATGATTCAGGTCTGATTACAGCACATGATTACTGATTCAGGTCTTATTACAGCACATGAATACTGATTCAGGTTTGATCACGGTACATGTTTACTGATTCATGTTTGATTACAGCACATGATTACTGATTCAGGTCTTATTACAGCACATGATTACTGATTCAGGTTTGATCACAGTACATATTTATTGATTCAGGTCTTATTACAGCACATGATTACTGATTCAGGTTTGATCACAGTACATGTTTACTGATTCATGTTTGATTACAGTACATGTTTACTGATTCAGGTCTTATTACAGCACATGATTACTGATTCAGGTCTGATTACAGCACATGATTACTGATTCATGTCTGATAACAGCACATGTTTACTGATTCAGGTGTTATGTATACAGCACATGATTATGATTCAGGTCTTATTACAGCACATGAATACTGATTCAGGTTTGATCACAGTACATGTTTACTGATTCATGTCTGATTACAGCAATGTTTACTGATTTAGGTTTTATTACAGCACATGATTACTGATTCAGGTCTGATTACAGCACATGTTTACTGATTCAGGTCTGATTACAGCACATGATTACTGATTCAGGTTTTATTACAGCACATGATTACTGATTCAGGTCTGATAACAGCACATGATTACTGATTCAGGTTTGATCAAAGATGATCAAGTGAGGAACTGTTTGTTGTATGCGGCTTGTCTCGGTGGTAGCAGGGATGTTGTGAAGATGTGGCTATCACCTGGGGTTGATATCAACCACCCCCTACAACTGGTCAAGAGACTTACAGACTGTGAAAAACTCACACCTTTATTTGCTGCTTGTGCTGGTGAAATAAAACTTTTATTTTTTTATTTTGTAGTACTCCCATGACATACATCAGGGTCTTTCAAATATTGTCAGCAGATATTCTGAACACGCAATTTATGTTTTCAACAGATCATGGCTTTAAAAACATTATTTTCTGAAAAATTTATCTTTTTTCACAAGTAAAGAACATCATATTGTTAGAATTTTCATTTTTGCTCTTGTATCTATTTTCCCCCTTTTCTTGAACACTTACATAATTTGCATACAGCAATTATTGTTGAGTTATACCGTGGCACGTTTAATTGTAGCGAGAAGGGTTTACATAGCGCCTTTCCAGACCATTGTATTTGAAAGAATGTTATACTTTATTTCAGGGGGACATAAACATATTATAGAGTTTTTACACAGTAATTGTGAAGAGCTAGAGTTCTCTGTCCCTGTTTGTGAAGCACATCCAGGTATAATTGGTGAATTCCTTCAAATGTACTTTGTCCCAGAGCAATCTGATAATGAAGATGATTTTATAACGGTAAGTCTTTCTTTCAAAGCATTTACACTAATACTGTGATACCCCTAGGTTGGTTTTATGTAATAAACTTGTCATGCGTAGAATTTATAACTGCCCATTGATGATTCAAGGGAAGTCATATATACAGTAGAACTTCTATTAGTCAAACTTCGATTAGTCAGTTTTGTCGATTTGTCGAAGTAAAATGAAAGTCCTGATTAAATTCCCCCCCCCCCATTTTATTCCTTATTAAAACCTATGTATGAGTCGAAAAATATGTGTCGAATTTTTGAAGTGTCAAGTTTTTTTGTGGTCCGTATAGAATAAAGGTAAATTTGCCGAAATAAGTAAAAGTCCTTAAATTTTATTGTTATGCCTTCTTCCGGAATTTTTCCCCCTTTTTGACGAAAGAGATTTCCGATACAGGGGAAGAGATTTTTAATTACAAGTTTGTTTTTTACACCTTTTTTCATTTAAATGTTATAAAAGTTTTAAAGGGTTATATTATTCCCGTAGTGGATTCAAAGAAAACAGTAAAAAACTAAATTTGAGAACTTGTACCAGTGTCGTGTGAAAATGCAGGGGATATATTTTGTAAGCTGTTTTAGTTTTCCCCTTTCCCTTTTGAAAGTTGTAAATCAAGTAAAAATTTTTATCTTAATTAAACCGAGTCGAATCCCCCATTGTCAAAATTTTTTAAAACTAGTCCCCTTTAATTTTGACTTACAAAGTTCTACTGTATGTATATATTGAAATAGTATAACCAACAGTTATGCTTGGCTCTGTATTGATGACATAGGCTTGTCATCATTGGGGTTGAAATCATTAAGTTTTAGGATTGTTTCACTAAACCAAATGAAATATTTTTGCTCCAGGGGGTATATTGTTACTCAGTCAAAAATGACAGGCATTTAGTTAATTGGCATTGTCTGTCCAGGCATTTAGTTAATTGGCATTGTCTGTCCATTCATTGTTTCTCCTTTTGGCACTAAAACAGTTGTCATATCTGTAGCTTTTAATGCCCCACCTCCAAATAGAAAGTGCCAAGAAATTAGCCTAAAAATTATGGCATATATGTAATCTGTAAATTTTGTAATTGTAGCTTTGATTATTAATTTGTTTATTTTTAGTTGTGTACAGGACAGTTACAAAGAAAGAACCTGCGAATGCTTCATCCTGATTGGTTTAAACAAAATGGATACTTAATGACCTTGGTGGAACTAGACATTAGCTGTAATATGCTCACAGAATTACCAGATTGTCTCCCTTGGCACTTCCAGAACCTAAGAAGTCTGAATGCCTCCAGAAATCAGATCAAATCTCTGACATACTGTAGTAATGAGGATAGTGAAGAAGATCCTATATGTCCATGGTAAATATGAAAATTATGTCTGCATTGTTTGTTATTATGCTCCCTGAAAAATTTCAGGGGAGCATATAGTCGCCGGGTTGTCCGTCCATCCATCCGTACATACGTACCAAAGTTGTGTACGGCCCATTATTTAAAGTCGAATTTTAAAACTATTTCACAGAAATGATCACCATATTGAGACGACGTGTCGCTCACAACATTTGGGTAGCTTCTTTGAAGGTCAAGGTCACAGCATGACCTTGAAGCAAAATTGTGTCCGGCCAATAACTTCGTTATTTGAAGTCCGATTTTACAACTATTTCACAAAAATGATCACCAAATTGAGACGACGTGTCGCGCGTAACGGGTCGCTACCTTGAAGGTCAAGGTCAAAGCATGACCTTGAAGAAAAATCGTGTCTGGCCCATAACTTGGTTATTTGAAGTCGGACTTTACAACTATTTTGCAGAAATGATCACCATATTGAGACGACGTGTCGCGCGCAACATTTGGGTCAAGGTCACAGCATGACCTTGAAGCAATATCGTGTCTGGCCCAGTACTTTGTTATTTGAAGTCGGATTTTTCAACTATTTCACAGAATTGATCACAATAATGAGACGATGTGTTGCGCGCAACATTTGGGTCGCTACCTTGAAATTCAAGTCACAGCATGACCTTGCAGCAAAATCGTGTCCGGCCCATAACTTGGTTATTTGAAGTCGGATTTTACAACTATTTCACAGAAATTAGACAAATCTAATTGAGTAGAAATGCAGTGCAAAGAACAGTAACTCTGCATTGCCTAAGTTTGGAATTATCACATTTTGAACTTTGTCTGGGACATACATGTAACTCTGAAACTACAAAAGATATACTTTTCTGTGTCCAAATCCTAGTCGGGGAGCATCACCCGGTTAAATTGTTTATTTATATGTGATAAATGTATATTTAGAACTTGGAAATTCATGTTTTTTTTCCCTATTTTAGGAACAAGGAATTGTAGATTAATAAAAATCTCTTATTCTGACACCAGTATTGCTTGAAGAGACATCCTTTGTTTTTCTTTAGTTTAACTGAAACTGTTATGGCAACATTTTAGCATAACTGACGGTAATAAACTTTTTTATGCTCCCCGAAAAATTTCGCCTTGCCTTATTTTGGAGTTTTTGCCCTTTGTTCATTTTTTTATACTTTTCTGTGTCCAAAACCTTCTCAGGGAGCATCACCCGGTTCAACCGGTTCTTGTTTTTAATGTTGAGGGAGTTTGTCAGGGACCTCAACCATTAAGCCACTGAGGCTTTCTGAAGAGAGAATGGCATAAAAAATTACATTACTCAACTATAATTCCCCTCTTTACCTGAAAGCTGCATTAGTGTTATAAGATCAGTAGGATTCACTGCTTTTTGAAAAAAAAACAAAAAAAGAAACCAAACAAAAAAACAACAACAAAAAATGTGTTATGACAAACTGATGATTTACATTAACTTTTAAAATGTGAATGTCTTTTTATTTACTTTCAGTCTTGAAGAGGTCAATTTGTCATACAATAAATTGGAGACAGTTTGTCGTGAATTATTTGAGATACAGGGATTACAACATCTGTACTTGTCTCACAATAACCTGGTCTATCTCAGCAAGTCATTACTGCATCAAGGGGTACCTCTACAAAATAGTGTCTCAGTATTAAAACGCCATTGTAAGTGTAAATTTGTCTATTAAAACGCCATTGTAAGTGTGTATTTGTGTCATTTATATGTCACGGTTATGAAGTGTTCACTATATAGGGGAGAAGATGTGTAAGCGGACGTAAAGCTCAGTAGAGCCATTGTACGGTATTCTGAGGGTCCAGGATTCAAGTCCCAGTCCCAGTCAGACTGCACATTTTTCTGACCATGTGACATTTGGCGTCAAAAGGGGGCCGTGACTGCATATAACTCAGAGTTTAATTCACATTGCTCTGTAACTCTGTGAAATTTGAGGGTTAATTTCAATATAGCAGAGGAGTATGTCACGGTTCAGAACTGTTAACTATATAGGGGAGAATGTGTGTAAGCGGCCCGATAGCTCAGCCGGTAGGGCCGCGGTACAGTATTCCAAGGGTCCCGGGTTCTAGTCCAAGTCATGCTGCACATTTTTCTCACCTTGTGACATATTTCATATAAATAATAATTACAATATCCGAATGGATTTTCCAATTTATTTTTCTGTGTACTTTATCTGGAAATGTTTGAATTTATTTTTCATTTTCAAAATTGGTCTGATAACCAAATTAATTATAAAAGCATTGATGATATAAATATTCTGCAACTGTATGCATGAAATAATATGTTCAGTTGTTGTTTTTACATCACCACTACACATAACCTATATTTAGTTAATATTGTTATAATTATTAACCACGTCAACCTTTTTTTTGAATGAAACATACTGATTTGAAAATTTTAGATGCTTGTTATTTTTCCATTATGCAGTTCATATTGCTTCAAAATTTTGGGGGTATAAACTTTTTTCTTATGCAAGTAATTAAAAGTATAACTTTTTGTAGGAAAAAATAACAGAATCATTATATGATTTAAATATTTCACCATAAAAATCCCTTGAAATATTAGCATTATATGAATTATGTAACACTTCATTGTTGAATCAGTCAACAGTTAACAATTTGTTCATATGTGTTTCTATACATAAAAAATTGATCAATTATTTTAACATTCTCTAATATCTTATATAAGCTTCAGTGCAAGAAAGGCATTGGTTGTGTTCAGATCTGAGAAGGTTGGATATTTCCCATAATGTACTGGTCATGTTACCATTGGAGATTCAAGCTTGTAAACAACTTGTGAACATTAACGCAAAATACAACAAGTTAACAACATTCCCACAACCTTGGAATTGTCCACTGGTATTAAATTTTACTTATAAGTTTTTCTTTTGCAAAACAAACAAACAAAAGTTAGAAATAGATTGTTTGAAAAAAATGTTGTATATAGAGCACTTGGTGCTTTACAGTTGTATCTTGTATAGCATTTTTAGCTCGACTTTTCTATGAAAAGGGGAGCTATCCTACTCGCCCCGGCGTCGGCGTCGGCGTCGGCGTTGGCGTCGGCGTCGGCGTTGGCGTCACACCTTGGTTAAGTTTTTCGTACCACCCCACTTTATTTCAGAAGTATTACAAGTATGGCTTTGAAACTTACCATACTTGTTCACCATCATAACCTCCATCTACAGACAGGAGTACATAACTCTGTCAAGGTTTTTGACAGAATTATGGCCCTTTTTTGACTTAGAAAGTGTATTGAGCTTGGTTAAGTTTTTTGTACCACCTCACTTTATTTCAAAACCATTGGAGGTATTGCTTTGAAACTGACCATACTTGTTTACCATCACGACCTTCATCAACAGACAAGAGGACATAACTCTGTCAAGGTTTTTGACAGAATTATGCCCCTTTTTGACTTAGAAAATACATTGAATATGGGTAAAATCCACTTATTGCCTTAACCCTTTGAGATATTGCTTTGAAACATTTAATGCTATTTCACATCATTACCCCCATCTGTACGCAAGAGAAGGTAACTCTGTCAGGGATTTGTTTTAAAAATTAAGGCCTTTTATCGACTTAGAATCTTGGTTAACTTTTTTGTACCAGTCAACTTTTTGACTGAACTGGTTGAGATATTAAATTGAAAGTTGGAATACTTGTTTACCATCATGGTCCCAAAACATGGGCAGGAGAAGGTAATTCTGTTAAGGATTTTATTTGAATTATGGCCCTTTTTGACTTAGAAACTCAGTTAAAATTTTCATTCTTGTCCACTTGTTGACTTAACCATTTGAGATATTACTTTGGAAGTTGGAGTTCTTATGTGCCATCATGAGACCTATCTGTAAGCAAGAGAAGATAACTCTGTGAAAATGTTTCTTGATTTGTACTTAGAAATTCCTAGTTAAAGTCTTGTGTGCCCTTAACTGTCAAAGTTTTGTTTTATAGGCAAGCACTAAAAAAGTCGAGCGCGCTGTCCTTCTGACAGCTCTTGTTGAAACAGTTTTTGACAATCGAACCAGTTAACACTCTTGTCAGAAGTAACTCAACATCTGCATATTTACACATTTGAACTGTGCATTTTAATGACAAATTAGGTTACTGCTTCACTTCCTTTGATCCAGAATTTGTTTGTTTTCCACTTTGTCGATAAATTTATGAAAGTTGTGAAAATAAAAAAATGTTTTCTGAAATCCTGACTTTTCTGTATGATTGGTTACAAAACATACACTGTTTGATTCCAATGTTTGTTCATATCTTTTTTATATGTTCCGTTATTGTATATCATGTAGTTCTTCAGTTTATATTAATCTATATGAATTTAATCGTGTTTTAATGTCTGAGTTTATGATGATTCTCTGACATTCCCTTTATAAGATATTAAATATGTAAAATCTTCTCACATCTTCAGGAGCATTTAGATGTGAGTCATAATCAGTTGGAAAGATTTCCTGTCAACACAGAGGTATACTGGAGCGGTAGTCTACGAACCCTAAATATCAGCAATAATAATCTTGACGAGATTAATGAAGGAATAGTCAGGCTGAGTATGTCATAGTTGTTTGGTAATAATAGTTACAATGTTTAATGTCATATTTTCTAAATTGAGCAAAGCATAACTTATAGTCTTTCCCATTGATGAAAGGAATCTTAGTTATTTTAATGAAACTCTAATGATATTGATGACAAAGAGATGAATGTAATTATTTCATTTTTTATAATTTCAGGTCTTTTGTCAGAGTTAGATGCAAGTGATAACAAAATAGAGAGAATACCTAGCCCAGAGATCTGGGAATGTGGACACTTACATAGCCTGAATGTAAAACATAATAAACTTGGCATTTTTGAAGAGACATCAACCAAAAGGTACTTGTAGAATATAACTTAATTGTTTAGTTACTTTTGTTAAATTCCAAATTCCAAGTTAAATGTATCTCAGTCAGGTATTACAAGGGTGCAATTGATTGTCAAGACTTCTTGTATTCTTTTTATATGCATTCGCTTGCATTCTAAATTTAAGTGCCAATTTCCATACATACATGTACATGTATACGTATATCATTTGAATCTGTGGTTTAGGACATGTGAAGTAAGGCTAGATTGTCAAGGAAGAACATGAGCTCTTGAATAATTTGTAAAGTGACTATGAAGTCTATGTATTGTTAGGCTGTTATAAAGTCATATAAAGATGGTTGATATGGTGGAAGGATCTACTCAAAGATCTTGATGTTGAGTTACTGAAATAAATATTCTTAATACATTGAGTAATAATAATTCACACACAAAAAAAAATCAATACAGTATTAATTGTCAGTATTTTGTTAACTATACCATACTTTTATGTTAGACAATGTTTTGTAAATATGATAAATTTATATCTTTCACAGTAACTTGGTGATAGACATGTGTATACTTTTGCCATTTAATTCTGTGACATTGATTGATTAATTGATACTATTTATTGACAATTCATTTTTCTTTCAGACTATTTAGCAGGAAGCGAACAAGTAGTTCAGAAGATTCCAGACAGGTTTATTTTCCACAATCCCTAGCATACTGTCTGAAAGAACTACGACTAGCAGACAACAGTTTAGACTGTGTCCCTCCATCTGTTTGTGATTTAACCAGTCTGGAAGTCCTTGACCTATCCGAGTAAGGAAATATGTTACATAGATTTATATTTGCCAAAGTGTCAATGATTTTGATCTTTATTCTTTGTAAGTTTTGATCTGAAACAATTTTAAGGATCATAATGAGGTTTAAAGCTGCACGCCTCCAGATGATTCAAAATATTTCAAGAAAATCAATAATGGGAAAAATGTACTAAAATTTAAAGAAAGGTAAAAACATTCGAGATCCATGTTATATTTTATAAGTTATATGCGGTTTAAGACTGATTTTGCAGTATATTATTACCATATTTCTACTGCGTTACTAACGCAGTAAGGACTGTTTTTGCATATGTTGACGACTTTTGCGTAATTTTCTTGGATTGTAAGTGCCGATTGCAATATATTAATTACTTTATTTGTTCACCTCACAATATTTTACTATTAAATACTTTTCAAAAATTTTCATGAAAATTAACATGAATCTGGAGGCGTGGTGCTTTAATGTTTGAGAAAGGTATTTGTTTTACTTACATTGTAAGATTGTGCAAACACAAAACTCATTGATGAAAGTTAATGCCTCACTACTTTGGGTTGGAGCATATAGATATGCCATTTTTTCTTTTTGATTTCATTTGTTTATCCATGGTAACAATAGTCAGCTGTCTGGTTATAACCCAGAACTAAATAAACAAGTAAATGGATCTATCTGCAGTCCTAAACATGTTTGTAGTTGTTATTATATTTCAGCAATCCTTTGATAAAGGTGTTACCTAGGGAACTTGGCAAGTTGAAGAACTGTGGTTTACTAAAACTGAAGGGAGTTACAATAACAAATGTCAACATTCCAGGTTTGTACCCATAGATATGTTCAGTTTTAACACATTCTCTCGTTATTAGATTAATGCATGTTTACTGACTAGAAATTGGGCTGCTGATGGTCAACAATTTCTTCTCATGAAATTAAACAGTATTTCTGGAGTGGGCCTTCTTTGGTCAAGTGGTTAAGGTCATTGACTTCAAACCAGTTTCCCCTTTACCACTGTTGGTTTTAATCCGGCCAGGGACTATAAAAGAAATCCAGCTAGCTTATGGAACACAGGTAGTTCTACTCCGGTGCCTGGTCAGGCTATGCAAGTAGGCGCACCAGAGGTCTTACTTGACCATTCAAATTCATTGAACATTGAGTTTTCCTCTAAATTTGTGATGCTACCTGTTGTACATTATTTGCTATGAAGTGTGTATTTCCTCTATCCTGTTGTACAGAACACAATTTGATCTTGCATTTTATTCTCAGCAACATGGTGTGCACATGGGATGGGCATGTTGTGCTAGTTTGCTATTTTATTGTGTATTTAGCCAATGTCCTATAATTGCATCATAATTAAACTTGAAATTTTAAAACTTGACAGGAACAGTTTTATGTATGTATTTTGCATTATTCTATGTACAATGTATATAATCAGATTATGTAGTGAACCATTTGTTTATTTACAGCATCTGGTAATAAGACAAAAGAGATTTTATCAGAATTGTTGGAAAATTTACGAGATTGTCAGCCATATAATAAGATAAAAGCTGTTGTACTGGGTAAAAAGGTATATTGCTTTATATTATTACTTTTGACAATTATCTACAACAAAAATATATGGTCAGTCAAAGTTCCAAATGTACTGAGTCAAGGAGCTTTGTAGGCCCCTAGGCATTTCCTCACTTTTAAAGTTTGAACATTGTCATATTGATTTATACAGTGATGATTCTACAATAAAAACAAATCATGAATATATACATTATACAGACTGTATAGAGGTTAGAAGTATAAATTACTCAAAAAAGGGATGGAATGTATAAAACTGTTCACATGTAGGTTTGTTGGTGTGTTCCCTGCAATACACCAAATAACTTTCTCATATGTCAAATATGGTATAGTTTAGACTATTGTCATAACAAGATATGTCTGTGAAAGTTAACAGTCAACATGCGCATAAGACTTACTTCAAATATTATTTATTTGATTCCAAAGAAAACCTGAAGCTTATTTTAACCTCATTCAAGTAGATCTAATCAGTAATGGAATCCTTGTTGTGACCCAAGTTGGGCTCAAACTTACAATTCCTGAGTTGAGAGACAGACATCTTACCGGTAACTACAATGTCACCTTTTTGGCTTTAAAATATTAACTGTTTTAGAGTAGAACAAATCATGCAATTAAAATTATTTATTCTACTACAAAAAATTTCACGAAATGTTTACAATTACATTGTAGGATAAAGGAAAGACAACTCTGGTGAACATCTTAGCAGGAAAGAAACCTCAAGCAACAAAAGAAAGGAAAAGTATTGTCAGGGAGGAGGTGACACTAAATAAAAAGGGATTTTCAGTAAGTTTACATATATAATATAAGATGATGTACATTACGATAGAGCTTATCTTGCTTACTAAAATTACTTGCCCCTCTGCCAGGATTATATTCAAATCACACAAAGGATTGTGTAATATCTTATGTAAAGAACCTTTACTACTGGATGAAAAAATATTTTATCATGTACTGAGTTACTAGTACAAACTAAAACTAATGTACAGAGGAGCATTTGGCGATTAAGTCTGAGTCTAAATATTACCATGAACCTATTAGGTGTGTGTCGGTGAATTGAAAAAAAAAAAAAATAAAGTAAAAGAGTAAATTCAGAAATGCCTGCTGCAATAAATGAAATTACAGTAATAAATAAAGGTCTAGTTAAGTCATTGTTATATAAAAATAGTTTATATATTGTTTCTACCCGGCACAGAAACTCTTGTCCTTTAAGGCTCATCCAAAAGACAGTAATTTCAAGTACTGAGTAGCTGCTCAGAATCAAAATAAAGACACCTTGATTTGTTGGCCAGTGTTATTCTGTACCATTGCACATGCTGTCCAAGATCGTTTCTACTCACACACTTTGTTTTATTTGCCATATCTTTTGTATGTAAACATAGATAACAACAAGCAATTAATTTGTTATCAACACAAAATTATTATATGTTACATGTTTTCAGTTAAAGAAGGAAGTGCAGGTGAAGTTGAATGTATGGGATATGTCAGGAGATGAAGTCTATACACAGATTCATCACAGCGTATTTACACCTCTGACATTGTATGTCCTTGTATGGGACTTCTGGTCCATCACTGAGGAAATTGATAAGATTGAGAAATGGATAAACAATATCAAGGTATGAGGATTCAGTTTTGAAAACATTTACATAGATTTTTCTAAAAATAGCTTTCAAAACAAGGTGAGAGAAATGATTGTGCTTGTTTCTGTGAGCTTACTGTGTGAGAATAGACAAAACTGACAAGTCTTGCAATGCTTAAGTTGTGTAATAAAATAACTGGTTTTGGTTCATGATATTTTTATTCTATATTTCTCTACATCTTCAATGTACTGGCTGCGTCTTTAACTCTTTACCATGCAATGTTATATGACAATGTACCGGCTACATCTTTAACTCTTTACCATGTAATGTTATATGACAATGTACCGGCTACATCTTTAACTCTTTACCATGCAATGTTATATGACAATGTACCGGCTACATCTTTAACTCTTTACCATGTAATGTTATATGACAATGTACCGGCTACATCTTTAACTCTTTACCATGTAATGTTATATGACAATGTACCGGCTACATCTTTAACTCTTTACTGTGCAATGTTATATGACAATGTACCGGCTACATCTTTAACTCTTTACTGTGCAATGTTATATGACAATGTACCGGCTACATCTTTAACTCTTTACTGTGCAATGTTATATGACAATGTACCGGCTACATCTTCAACTCTTTACTGTGCAATGTTATATGACAATGTACTGGCTACATCTTCACTCTATACCGTGCAATGTTATATGACAATGTACGGCTACATCTTCACTCTTTACCGTGCAATGTTATATGACAATGTACGGCTACATCTTCACTCTTTTCTGTGCAATGTTATATGACAATGTACAGCTACATCTTCACTCTTTACTGTGCAATATTATATGACAATGTACTGGCTGTATCTTCAACTCTTTACTGTGCAATGTTATATGACAATGTACGGCTACATCTTCACTCTTTACCGTGCAATGTTATATGACAATGTACGGCTACATCTTTAACTCTTTACTGTGCAATGTTATATGACAATGTACCGGCTACATCTTCAACTCTTTACTGTGCAATGTTATATGACAATGTACCGGCTACATCTTCAACTCTTTACTGTGCAATGTTATATGACAATGTACGGCTACATCTTCACTCTTTTCTGTGCAATGTTATATGACAATGTACGGCTACATCTTCACTCTTTTCCGTGCAATGTTATATGACAATGTACGGCTACATCTTCACTCTTTTCTGTGCAATGTTATATGACAATGTACGGCTACATCTTCACTCTTTTCTGTGCAATGTTATATGACAATGTACCGGCTACATCTTCAACTCTTTACTGTGCAATGTTATATGACAATGTACTGACTGTGTTTTCACTCTTTACCATGCATTGTTATATGACAATGTAACAGGACTTTCAATCAATGTCTGTAACATATCACTGTCATACATTCATGACAAATATGTTACAAGAGTGTTCTAGTTATCCTTACATTAATTTTGTATTTCATTATACTGTGAATTTAACATAATCAGCATGCATCAGATATTCAGTATAATATTTCAGTTCAGTTCAATAGGTGGCACCTCTAATATGTTACAGGCAAGTACAAGCAGTTTCTGCATTGTGTTGGTTGGAACATTTATAGATAAGTTGTCACCTCTGAAACCTGACACAGTCCAAATTGTGAAAGATAGACTGGCACAGAGACTAGGAAATGAAACACCCAGACTGTGTCCTGTTTCCTGTATTAATAATGAAGGTAAATGTATAATTTTATTAAGTAAAATCTTTGATGATAATGAAATGATTTGTAAACTAGATAAAGTAATTGGCTATTCTTTTCATTAGTAACATAACAGAAATAAACATAGAAACATTACACAGAAAGACTATGTGATAAAGTTACAAGGGTTTAAAATCAAACACCAAACATTTACTCTTTCTCTAGTCTGAAATGAAGCTACATGTAGTAGAACGCTTAAATTGTGTGATTGACATTCATTGAAATTGAACTTTTTTATATTATGTGTGTTCTTTATTTACCATTTTATACAGGAATAGATAATCTACGCTCATGTCTGTATGAGACAGCTTTGGGGATGTTTTTACCTGGACGTGCTAGACCTCCTCTGATTGGTCGGAAAATTCCCAAAAGTTATCGTCTGATGGAGAAACAGATCGTGGAAGAAGTGACGAGACTTGAAGCGGAGATGAAACCTCTTTGTCTGACACAGACCCAGTTCCTGGAGATCATTGATAAAATACCACAGAAACATAATGACTTACAAACTGTCGAGGAGACCGCGGCTGGTGAGATTTTTTTATATTTTTTTACAACTTCCAATATTAGCATGAAACAGAATGATAATAGTTTATGAAAGACAGACTGGTAAAAAGAAACTAGGAAATGAAACACCCAGCTTATAGCTTACAACAAAAACAAACTAAAATTAATCTCGTATAAACTAAATATAACAATTTACAAAATTGTTTGCAAGATTTAATGCCTGAGACTGTATAGGAATATGTCAGCCAGTCATAGTTTGTCAACCAGTCTTGTTTAAAATATACCTTGTACTGGAAGCTGTCTGTACATAGATTGAAGTTGGGAAGGGTTATATGATAATATCAAAGCATACTACATGCACCTGTACCAGTGCTGATTTCTTATAATCTTTTAATTATTTAGTTTATATGGCTAAAATTGAATTATTGTATTATGTGTAAATAGAAATTGTATTCATTCATTACATTGTTTTTTTTGTTTTGTTTTTTTCAGTAACAAAATTTCTAGTTGAAGCTGGTTACCTGCTACATTTCACAGACCAGCTTGGTGCCCTAGATACTCTATACTTCCTAGACCCGGCCTGGCTCTGTGATATACTTGTATTTATCTTAATAGTAAGTATATCATTTTAGAGAGGGAGACGAGTTACTAGCAAGATATTGAATGAAATACCAGATATGGGGCTTGTTTTTCACTTTACTTGATATTTTATAAACACTTGTTTTCAAATTTTTAGTTTCAGTTCAGGATAAATTAAATAGAACTTAACAGCAATATATTGAATGAAATACCACCGGATATCGGGCTTTTTTGTTGCTTTCCTTATTGTTTCAGAAAAACTTGTTTTCAAATTTTTAGTTTCAGTTCATGACAAATTGAATATAAGTTAGAATTCATGTGTCTTTAAAACAATTTATTTTAGTCACCAAATGGAAAGAAATATTTGAGACAAGGTAGAGGGAAGATCAGCAGACATGATGCAGAGAGGGTTTATATAGAGGCTGGAAAGTTTCCACCTGAGTTTAAAGACCAGTATATTGAACTGTTAGAGAGATTTGAAATAGCTGCCTCAATATCACAGTCAGCATTGTAAGTTGTTTATTAATAGCTGCCTCAATATCACATTCAGCATTGTAAGTTGTTTATCAATAGCTGCCTTAATATCACAGTCAGCATTGTAAGTTGTTTATCAATAGCTGCCTCAATATCACAGTCGGCATTGTAAGTTGTTTATCAATAGCTGCCTCAATATCACAGTCAGCATTGTAAGTTGTTTATCAATAGCTGCCTCAATATCACAGTCAGCATTGTAAGTTGTTTATCAATAGCTGCCTCAATATCACAGTCGGCATTGTAAGTTGTTTATCAATAGCTGCCTCAATATCACAGTCGGCATTGTAAGTTGTTTATCAATAGCTGCCTCATTATCACAGTCGGCATTGTAAGTTGTTTATCAATAGCTGCCTCAATATCACAGTCAGCATTGTAAGTTGTTTATCAATAGCTGCCTCATTATCACAGTCGGCATTGTAAGTTGTTTATCAATAGCTGCCTCAATATCACAGTCAGCATTGTAAGTTGTTTATCAATAGCTGCCTCAATATCACAGTCAGCATTGTAAGTTGTTTATCAATAGCTGCCTTAATATCACAGTCAGCATTGTAAGTTGTTTATCAATAGCTGCCTCAATATCACAGTCAGCATTGTAAGTTGTTTATCAATAGCTGCCTCAATATCACAGTCAGCATTGTAAGTTGTTTATCAATAGCTGCCTCAATATCACAGTCAGCATTGTAAGTTGTTTATCAATAGCTGCCTCAATATCACAGTCAGCATTGTAAGTTGTTTATCAATAGCTGCCTCAAAATCACAGTCAGCATTGTAAGTTGTTTATCAATAGCTGCCTCAAAATCACAGTCAGCATTGTAAGTTGTTTATCAATAGCTGCCTCAATATCACAGTCAGCATTGTAAGTTGTTTATCAATAGCTGCCTCAATATCACAGTCAACAATGTAAGTTGTTTATCAAAAGCTGCCTCAATATCACAGTCAACATTGTAAGTTGTTTATCAATAGCTGCCTCAATATCACAGTCAGCATTGTAAGTTGTTTATCAAAAGAAAAGCTTTCAATAAAGATTAATAAGTCTTTAAATTGTGTTCAATAGTTTTTGTTATTTTTTTCGGAATTTGGTGTCATGTTTATGAATTCCGTGTTGCTTTAAATTGACTTATTAAGTAACAAAATCATAACTTATTTCTTTATTTTATGTGACAGTGAATAAAACTTCATTACAAGGTTAATGTAAATCAAAGAGAATTTTGAGTGTATTCAAGTTGATGAACATTTGTTGGGAAAAAAATGATGGACTGCATATTTAGTTTATCTATCATTTCATATCTTTCAGTCTATTTTTTCCATGCCAACTACCGGTTGATCCCCCAATCATTGAAACCGGAGACGACAAATCCGGTGCTAAGTCAATGAGGCGGTTATACCTGATGTCAGACTGTCCTAGTGGATTCTGGATGAGACTGGTTACTCGTATGATGATGCGTGTAGAACAGTTCGAGAAGAAAGACTGGTTTTTCCGTCCAACGTTAACTCACTCGATGAGAATGATGTCAATGAGACACGGTACAACAGTGCACAGTAATCCTAAACGTGGAAGTAGCATGTGAGTCACAAACGCTGGTCTCTGATTGGTGGAAACACATCATGAATTTTATATTAACATTTTGTAATCATTTTGAATTATTTGATAGTTTTGATGAAAAATTCTAATTTTGATGTACATGTTTAAGACATGTACATTAATATCATCAGTGTGACATCACACACCAACAATTTAAGGGAAAAAATTTTTAGATAACAAACCATGTAGAAGTAATAATGATGTAAATAAATAGAAATGTTTTAAACAAATAATTGTACATCTAGTGGGTTTGACTTTAAGATTATTAATGTTATTTTTATAGCTATGGGTTACAAATAAAGTCTGCCCGGAAGACATTTTGTCGAGAATTGATTCATGTTAGTCATGAAGATGGCAGCTTTTGTGTGGAACCAGCCATATTTACAGGTATGTTGTATATTGTATATTTCATTTCATTTGTTGCATATATTTATAGATGAGATATTTTGTAATGAAACATATTAACCTCTGACAAGTATATATTAACTCATACAGGCACTTTTCACATTTGAAATAATTATAACCATTTTACACCTGTATACGGTTAGGGTTTCCACACCCTAAACAACTAAAGTCTTATCAGTTTTTATCTTGAAATTTTTAAAGAAATGATGAACTGTTAAAACAGAACAAGATCGTACATAATGGTGTTACAAAGTTATAGTCAGCTAAATTTTCTGTAAAGATTTGTTCATCTAACATTTTGAAATGATCCAAACAGAGCCGGGTCAAAATGTGTGAATGTGCAGGCTAACCTGGTGATATATTTAACAACTAAAAGGAGAAGAATTCTATAAGACCTAGTCTTTCGTTCTAATCCTCTTCTTTGAATATTGTCAAATTTTGTATGTGTATATATTTCAAATGTTATTATGTACATATTCTGAGAATAAATATGTTTAAACTAACCTGGTGATGACTGGTTTCAGTTATGTGAGATTATTACGTATTTTTAAGTATATGTATGTAGTACTTTGTGCTTCAATATTAACCCTCAAAGGACATGACAGGTGACATGTCTTGGGTCCGTACTTGACAGTGAAAGCTGCTTTTTTGTGCCGTAATGGGCGGATGGGACACTCATTAAAGAAAGAATACATACAAGAGTTGCATTGATAAATCAGAGTTTGAGTTTATATTTCAGGTGTGACAGAGGATGACAGTTTACAACATGGTGTTCTGATAACTGAAGTCAGCATTAGTGGGACATTTGCTATCATTGGTATAATTGTTGATGAAATCGAGGACATAATACAAGATTATTATCCAGGTGTGTTCTTTCTCATAGTTATTCTTATAAACTTGTTTGGATGTAGTGTTTGGTAAATTTTACATATTTTTCCATTTGATGTAAGTTCTTTTTAGCTCGACTATACGAAGTATATGGAGAGCTGTCCTACTCGCCCCGGCGTCGGCGTCCGCGTCCAGATTTTAGATTAAAGTTTTGGTGCAGTAAAATATTTTTCACTATAACTTTGTCATTTCTTAAGGTATCAACTTCAAACTTCAAATATATGTTCCTTATCATCAACCACATCTTATGTGACAAGGTTCATAACTCTAGCACTAATATTTTCAGATTTATCTCCCCTTGAACTTAGAATTTTCCTTAAAAAATACTATTTTTGACTGTTACTTCTTTATTTCTTAAGGGATCAACCTCATACTTCAAATATAATTATGTACCTTATCATCATCCCCATCTTATGTGACAAGGTTCATAACTCTAGCACCAATATTTTCAGATTTATCTCCCCTTGAACTTAGAATTTTTCTCAAAAAATACTATTTCTTACTGTTTCTTCTTTATTTCTTAAGGGATCAACCTCATAGTTCAAATATATTTACGCTATCATCATCCCCATCTTATGTGACAAGGTTCATAACTCTAGCACCAATATTTTTAGATTTATCTCCCTTTGAACTTAGAATTTTCCATAAAAAATATTATTTTTTACTGTTACTTATTTATTTCTAAAGGGATCAACTTCATACTTCAAATATATTTACGTTATCATCATCCACATCTAATGTGACAAGGTTCATAACTCTAGCACCAATATTGCAAGAATTATCTCTCCATAAACTTAGATTTTTTTACTAGAAAAAAAGTTATTTTTTATTATAACTTTTTTATTTTTAAAGGTATCTACCTCAAACTTCTAATACTTATTCCTTATCATCAATTACATTTTATGTGACAATGTTCATAACTCTTGAAGCAATATTAACAGATTTATCTGTCTTGAACTTAGGATTTTCTTTAAGAAATATAATAACTTCTTTACTTTTTAGCTCGACTATTCGATAAGAATAAGTAGAGCTATTGCAGTCACCCGAGCGTCAGCGTTGGCGTCGGCGTAACCACTTATGTTAAAGTTTTTGTAATAGTTCAAATATTTTCAAAGTCCATAGACATATGGCTTTGAAACTTTGCACACTTGTTCACCATCATGACCCCAACCTGTAGACAGGAGGAGGTAACTCTATCAAGCATTTTGACAGAATTATGCCCCTTTTTCGACTTAGAATTTACGTTAAAGTTTTTGTAATAGTTCAAATATTTTCAAAGTCCATTGACATATGGCTTTGAAACTTTGCACACTTGTTCACCATCATGACCCCAACCTGGAAACAGGAGGAGGTAACTCTATCAAGCATTTTGACAGAATTATGCCCCTTTTTCGACTTAGAATTTACGTTAAAGTTTTTGTAATAGTTCAAATATTTTCAAAGTCCATTGACATATGGCTTTGAAACTTTGCACACTTGTTCACCATCATGACCCCAACCTGCAAAACAGGAGGAGGTAACTCTATCAAGCATTTTGACAGAATTATGCCCCTTTTTCGACTTAGAATTTACGTTAAAGTTTTTGTAATAGTTCAAATATTTTCAAAGTCCATTGACATATGGCTTTGAAACTTTGCACACTTGTTCAACATCATGACCCCAACCTGTAAACAGGAGGAGGTAACTCTATCAAGCATTTTGACAGAATTATGCCCCTTTTTCGACTTAGAATTTACGTTAAAGTTTTTGTAATAGTTCAAATATTTTCAAAGTCCATTGACATATGGCTTTGAAACTTTACACACTTGTTCAACATCATGACCCCAACCTGGAAACAGGAGGAGGTAACTCTATCAAGCATTTTGACAGAATTATGCCCCTTTTTCGACTTAGAATTTACGTTAAAGTTTTTGTAATAGTTCAAATATTTTCAAAGTCCATTGACATATGGCTTTGAAACTTTGCACACTTGTTCACTACCATGACCCCAACCTGTAAACAGGAGGATGTAACTCTATCAAGCATTTTTTTTACTATCAAGCACTAAGAATAGTCGAGCGTTGCTGTCCTACCGACAGCTCTTGTTTGACTTAGAATTTACGTTTAAGTTTTTGTAATAGTTCAAATATTTTCAAAGTCCATTGACATATGGCTTTGAAACTTTGCATACTTGTTCACCATCATGACCCCAACCTGTAGACAGGAGGAGGTAACTCTATCAAGCATTTTGACAGAATTATGCCCCTTTTTGACTTAGAATTTACGTTAAAGTTTTTGTAATAGTTCAAATATTTTCAAAGTCCATAGACATATGGCTTTGAAACTTTGCACACTTGTTCACCATCATGACCCCAACCTGTAGACAGGAGGAGGTAACTCTATTAAGCATTTTGACAGAATTATGCCCCTTTTTCGACTTAGAATTTACGTTAAAGATTTGTAATAGTTCAAATATTTTCAAAGTCCATTGACATATGGCTTTGAAACTTTGCACACTTGTTTACCATCATGACCCCAACCTGTAAACAGGAGGAGGTAACTGTATCAAGCATTTTTTTTACTATCAAGCACTAAGAATAGTCGAGCGTTGCTGTCCAACCGACAGCTCTTGTTAAGGTATCTACTTCAAACTTCAAATATATATTTCTTATCATTACACAAATGTTGTGTGACAAGGTCCATAACTCTAGCATGACTATTTCTAGAATTATTCCCCTTGATCTTGGAATTAATGTTAACAAATGTTTTTTTTCTTCTATAACTTAATACATAATTATACATAATGGATTTTTCTTTCATAGTTTTGTCCTCCTTACTGCGTCCGGTATTTTATTAGTCGAGCTTCGCTGTCTCCTGTGACAGCTCTTGTTTTTTATATGGTTGATTTCATGGAATATAACAGGGGAGCAATGAACTAGTTGCCACGATGTCTAACTTGCAACTTAATAATAGGGAATTTCAGCATTATTCAGCTTAGATCATGTGTCCCAGTACGACAATGGTATTTTTAAGTTCCTGCAAGCAGACTTGAAAGTCAGTTATATACTTTTGTTTGAATGTACATGTAGCATATGTACCTGTCTGTTTGGATGTATGTATTTACATGTATTTATGTTTGGAAAAAACGGGGTTACCCTTTAGAGGCAAAAAAAACCCCAAAAACGAATAAAGTCAATTATATATACAAGTTGCACAAACTTGTTTCACAATTTATCTTTGATAACTTAATGTTATTCTGTAGGGCTTGAGATGAATTTCCTGGAATAAATCTTGCCTTAAGACTGGTATATCTACAAAGTGTTGGAATGACTCATTTGTCAGAAATGAATAAAAAATAACAATGAATTTTAATTTTTTTCAGGGTTGTTAGAACCGGATATAATGTCATCCTGCAGCCATCTTGAGAGATATGCCCTTTGTTCTGCGTGTTACCAGGGGCAACCATTACCGAATGTTATAAACCATTTTACCATGGAGCATTGTGCTAGATTACTTGTTAATGGAGATTCTATAACATGTCCACAGGTTTGAAAAACTTTTTAGAAGTTTTATTTAATATGTAAGAGACAAACAAATAAACAAACAAACATTTTATTGACTTCAAGGTCACCAGCCCATACCAGCATGTACATTACACAATATAAACGTTTCATGTTAGTGGTATATTCAACAAATGATTATGAAACATATTCACTATGCTTAGATACAGTGATTGTCACATTTTATCATCTAATTCAGGAATTTTTTTTAACTGGATTGGTGAATAATGAGTGTTTTTCCAAATATTGATAAAAACAATAGAAATGAATCATTTGGATATCCTTAAAAAGTATTTCTTTGAAAAAAATGTTGATTAGAGTTCTAAGACTAGTGATTTAGTATAAACAATAATATGATAAATAATAATATTTTGTCCTGTTATATATAGACATGTAAAATTTGATCATGTATCTCATGCCATATTTTACTAATCTGTGGTTTGTTGAAACATACCATACTAGATACTATAAACATAATTATCTATGGCCCTCCTCCATGAACCAGTTCACTTAACAAAATGTATTGTTGTTACAGTTATTCTATGCTTGTTTTTCATCATTTAAAAGTTTGTCACTTCTTTAAAGTTATCCTGTTTTCTTTTAATGCAGCATTGGAAACAGGTATCAAATACATGTATTTGTAAAGATTTGATTTGGTAAAGTATTATGTCATTCATTTGAATTGTGCTTTATGTTGGAGTATGTGCTAATGCTTAGATACTGACATTCAGTATAAAAATGCACTTGTATTTTCATTTATGAACTTGGACGTGACTCTTTACTATTGGTTCCTCATTTTGGAAATTTTTATATTTAATTTGTCACAATTACAAATGTTACATTATTTCAAATGCATTATTTCAGGGTATAAAACAAAATTTAAGTGAACTGGTACCAGATTTATTGTTAAAAGAACTACCTGACAAATATTTTATGGACCAGGATAAAATTGAACTAGTGGAGTCCAAGGAAAACTGTCTAGGCACTGGAGTAACTGGATCAGTATTCAAAGGTATAGTATTGGTTTTTGAATGGACAGTGGGCCTCAGCTTAATTTAAACTTTTTGCAGCATTTCATTGTAACAAAAATAATGAAAGTCAATATTGTTCAAACTGAAACTATAGTACTTTCTGTTGTTCTTGACATTTAAAAAACAAAATTATTATGAAATGCTTCTTCTAAGATGAAGAGAGGCATATAGATTTGCCCTTGTCTGTTCGTCCTGTAGCCCTGCTGTCAGGCTGACCATCTGAAGACTGACAAAACAGTAGAATATGGGGGCATCTGTTTTAACTTCCCCATATATTTGTATTTCTCTGTATTATAAGTGTGACTGAAACACAATGTTGCCCTTCAAAAGAGATCCACCATCATTTCGCAAAGACTAAACAAAAATCTGTGTTATCTTTATTTTGTTATTCTGAATAAATTTCTTTTTAATATAGTATTGTTCTTTCTATTGAAATTAGGGAAATACAATGGTCAATTTGTGGCAATTAAGGTATATCGTAGTGACATACGTAACAGGACATTCCCGGGAAAATTTGCTTCTGTTAACAGCAACAGCAGTGATAGCGGAACAGCCACTCTGTCTACACAGGGATCTACAGGTTTGTTTGATTGATTTAATTTTTCTAAAACGAACATGTTCTTCTGTTGGAAAAGAAAATTGTGACTGATGGCTTAATCTTTATGAAAGAAATTGGGACTACAGTCAAAATCGCTTAACTCAAAATTCCGCGTAAATCGAAGAAAGTCCCGTCAAATTTCCTTCTTTATCTTTGTATTTTAACTCCGCTTAGGTCAAATTTTGATTTACCGAAACTTCTGTTTAGTCGAAAAAAATTTGGTCCCGTCAATTAAAGTCCAACATATTTTCATCTCAATTAGTCCAAGTGTGAAAACAGCCGACTGATCAAAGGTCGGCGACATCAAAGTGAGATGTTGTCACTCGTGATTCACACGTTTCACAGTAATTTTAATTGCCGGTCATCATGTATTATTAACACGTCATAAAAGGGGTTTTAATCGGTTTCAGAAATTAATTGACTCGTGCCAGTCTGACAGGTGTTAAATTACAGCCTAGGTATTGATGTGTGTTATCAATGTAAATAACATTTGTATAATTAATATTCCGTCATATTGCATACATTAATATGTACTTCCTGTTCACGATAATATTAGATAAATTGTTGTTGAAATAAATGTATTATTGGGCTTTAATTGTAATGAATTGTCATGAGTGCTTATTTAAAACATGTGCTTTACTGATGAATACTGACAAACTTGCATTTTAATGTCATTGCTACGAATGTTTGTGATTATATTTTACTATTAATATACATGTATTAAATTTTGAATAATGTATTTTTGTTATTTTATGTATATTGTAGTTGTAAGTGATTTACCGTCATTTCAACGGTTAAATATTGCAGCATTGCCGCTATCAACAATAACAAACCTACTTCTTTGCACATTCAATCAGGCACATGTATATATACATGTACGAATGTCAACGTAATGGTGGCAGATTCACGTTACTTGAATTCCGTTTCTCTCGAAGTAAAATGCCCAGTCCCTTGGATTTCGAGTTACCGAGAGTCAACTGTATTATTATTTACTTTTTGACTTACTTAAACCTTTTAAGTATGTCATGACTCTTCAGTTTAAGGTTTTGATAACTCTCAATATAAGGAAACATTTTAGTAATGTCTGCCAAAATATACCAGTGTGTATATATGGGGAGTTATAACAGTTTGTGTAATATATCAATATAAAATGTTATTTGTATTTACAGTTGAAGAAGATATCTATGTGAATGTAGCTCACGCTAGAAGGTCAGAGGTTGATATGGATGAGGCAGAAAGTCTTAAAGTATGTATCATTTATAATTATTGTTAAGGTTGTTTAGTTAGTTTATACAAATTTATTTTAGTTTGATTGTTTTGGAAGCTATAAGCTTATTGAAACATTCTCAAATCCATTCCTGGAACCAACCAGTAATAACTTAAGTAATAAGTGTAAAATTTCTTACACAAGGAAACAACATGGCCAGCAATCCTTAGGTTACTAGTCTGACACATTAACCAGTCTGTCAAGGTTGTTTAGCTGATCAGTACTGGAAGTACAGATAGATGTTAGTATAGGATATGTGTATAGTCCCATATACATAATCAGCATTCAGCAATGGTCTTCTTCTTTGAAACTATTGTTTAAATTTGCTTCAAATGAGCTGTGCATCCTTATGACTGATTTGCTTAATAGGGAGAGCATCATATTTGTAATCCAGGGTTAAAAGTTTAAATTTTGGCGAGACAAAATCTCTCCATGACAGTTCATGTAATGGTCATTTGTCTGTCACAGTTGATTTAGAAATTGTTTAGAATAAGGTGTAAATCACTTTCAGTGAAACTACTTATTACTGGCGAAAGCCGGTAAGGTGGACAAACCACAAAAAAATGGCTTAATCTGAATCTTTCAACATTTTTTCTTGCACCAGAAGATGGATAAAACCTGATCTGTACAAAATGGCATATAAATCTTGCCCACAGATTGAACAATGTCTTAGAACGCAGGTATATCTGCTCAGTGTCTGTTTGTTGCTAAAATAATGCACAGAGGGGCACCTAATGCTGGAATGTAACCATATGACCTCTACTGTGTTGATTCTTTTTAAAACCCAACCAAAAAAAAAAAGAATGAAATAACATGGAAATTATTTTAATGAAGTTTAGTGTTTCAAGTAAAGCTAGTTGTACTGATATTATACATTCTATATAAAACTCATTCCAAACAATGGCAACAGTTTTTTCAGCTGAATGGCTTAGAAACTTATAGCAAATAGAAAGGAAAAATGTTTGAAATTATCAAAATGATTTATTCAGTATCTGTTATATTTTCCAACAGGCTTTGAAAGCTATCAAGGAGATGAGACAGGAAGTTGCCATTACCAGCAGACTACATCATCCATGTATAGTTTCTCTGATAGGGTTAGCTTTCAGGTAAAATAGACGGTTAATTTCATCATATACAAACTTGTCTAATTTGTTAGAGAAAAAAATATTTAATTTGATCACTTTAATTTAATGGTATAAAACATTAACTGGTGTAATATATAAATAGATTTAAAATGTCAGTTTCATAATTATGCTGTAATTGTTTTTGAAATGCATGTTGTGAATTTACAGATTAATAGAATGTTCCCAAGGACAATAGACATTGCTATTTTATATGAAGGTTAGAAATGATGTGTTGAATGTACAGGTTATATTTTACAGGAATTTACACATATTATTCTCTCAACTTATGTATTGATACTTTGTATTCTGTTGTATCAAGACTTTAATTATAAAGCTGTGGTTGTAGGCAGTCTGTCATGATCACCATATTGTTGTTTTAAATATTGATAACATTTAGCTTCACATTTCCAAGATTTATACCATTTAGGTAAGTATGTGCATAGTAAGTTGTTTAAAATGTTAGAATTTTTTTTATAACTTCTTGCTTTGTAAGAACAATGATGAGGTCAATCTTGATATTTTCTAGACCAAAGTTAATGATGGCATTAGAGTTAGCTCCCCTTGGTAGTCTGAGGGACATTTTAGACAAGAAGTCAAATGGACGACCAGTATTTAACAGATACAAAAACAAAGATGAACTGTTTCCCCCACTCTTTGAAAAGGAACTGATTTTCAAATTTGTCTATCAGGTGTGTATTATAGAAATCCTATATAAATACCGTAAAATGAGCAATATTCTTGAAAAGCAACTATACAACTAATTGATAGTTCTTTGTTTAGTTAAATGAAAATGTACTTTTTAGTCCCCTACCGGTTTACCGGAGGGGACTTTAGGTTTACCCTCCGTCCGTCTGTCTGTCCATCCGTCCACAAAAATGGATCCCGCGATAACTTGAAAAGTACTGAAAATATTTTTATGAAACTTGATATATGGATAGATGGCAGTATGGAGATTATGCACGTCTTTTTCTTTTCTTCCTATGTTGAAAATTCTGGTTGCTATGGCAACAAATAGGCTGAAAATATGGCAAATTTTACACATAAACTGGATCCAGTGATAACGCAAAAAGTACTGGAAATATTTATATGGGTAGATGGCAGTCTGGAGATTATGCACGTCTTTTTCTTTTCTTCCTATGTTGAAAATTCTGGTTGCTATGGCAACACATAGACTGAAAATATGGTAAATTTTACACATAAACTGAATCCAGTGATAACTCAAAAAGAACTGGAAATATTTTTATGAAACTTGACATATGGGTAGATGGCAGTCTGGAGATTATGCATGACTTATCTTTTCTTCCTATTTTGAAAAAATATTGGTTGCCTTGGCAACAAATAGGCTTAAAACATGGCAAATATAACAATATTTGTGATTAGTCAAAAAGAGCTGAAAATTTTTATGAAATTGCATCTTTAATTCAAGAGTTATCTCCTCTTTAAGAATTTTGCTTTTAAAAATATTATATTTTGGTAACAGGGATGTTTCAAATATTAACTTTAGAGTGTCCTTCAGTCCGTCTGTCTGTTCATAAAAACTGTTTCCTGTGATCACTTTTAAAGAACTTTTCCAACAAATTTACTTAAAATAGAGAAAAATTGAAACATTAGTGAATGGTCAATGGCCCTTCAGAATGTTGATGAGGTTCTAACCGGTAGGGGACTTATGGATTGCTTGCAATACTATGATAATTGCTTGTTATTTTAAGTAAAGCTTTGTTGAACTCACATTCTTATTGGACCAGTTTACCAATAAAAAATGAAGTTTTTATAATGCATTTACTAGCATTTAATTAATGTAAAAGAATAGTCTGGGGTTATCTTCTGTCCCAGGAATAGTTAAGAGTGTTAAATTTGATTTTAACCATTTGTCATTTAATAGGACTGTCATACAAACATAAAAACTAACAACAATAAGAAATGAAGTTAATCTTTGTTTATGAAATAATGTACATAATATATCATTCTATTCAAAAACTTAAATTTAGATTGCAAAAGGTTTGGAGTACCTACATACAAATGCCATTATATACAAGGACTTGAAGTCAGACAATATTCTCACTATGTCCCTGGATTTATCTGCCCCTGTCAACCTTAAACTGTCAGACTATGGGATATCTAAATACAACTGGGGTGGACGTTCAGTGGGCATGGTGGGGACACCTGGGTATCAGGCCCCGGAGATCCTTGATGGGAAGGCATATGATGAAAAGGTGAGTTATAACAGCATGTTATAGTTGAACAAATATTTGATATTTTACATTGAGGTATCTTTGTATGATTTTCATGACTTAAAAGTTTTATATACCATATCAGCTTTCTGATAAGTCTTGGAATACATTTTATGTATTTTATGGTGCTTATAAAATATTGATCTTGCAAAATAGACAAATCAGTTATACATCAGTAGATTTTAAGTAACCTGACAGAGAATAATATAGTGATGGCTGAAATCATCTTGCAATTTACATTATTGAAAGGCATATCTATATTTATTAAAGGTATACTATTCAAACATTCGTGAACTATTCATTTTAATTGTTTTTTTCAGGTTGATATATTTGCGTTTGCTATGGTAATATACGAGATCCTGACAGGTAGGAGGCCTTATGCTGAATGTGAAAATCTTGCTCAGATATCAAAAGCCATGAAAATCATGGGCAAAAGACCTGAATTAAAGGTAATCTAGGTTTTTAAAGCAGCAAATAGTTCTATATAAAATTGCATAAAGCTATCTGCTGCCTTCAGTTTGATTTTTCCAAAATGCCAATATGAGTAAAATATGCTTGTATATATTTCATTAAGAGCAAATGATGCATGCATATAATTGTTAAAAGGTGAAAAAGGTACTTCCAATAGCAGCATAATTTTTATTTTGGAACATTTTTCTTTCTACATACAATATTCATGTGATGACATTTTGCAAAATGTAAATTATCGAAATTCCCTTATTAATTATGAAAAAGCTAAAATTTCAATATCATTAACATAGTTGAATACCCTGATGATTAATTTCCATTTACTCAATAAGTATTGCAATAAGTAACACAGAGATTGAACTACATGCATTTAGTCTAGTTGTATATTATATAATTATTTGTTGTAATGACATAAGCAGCAGCAAAGTTCATTGATGTTTTCTGTTTATATTTACTTTATTTTACTTTTAATATAAAATTTTAGTGGCTTAAACACTGAAAACAACTGTAGTAACCTTAAGTATTAGTACAAGGACCTCCATTTAAAGATGCAACGATGATTTCCCTGTTTTACAATTTCCAGGATTTCAACATATTCTCGAAGTTTCCATGGTTAGAGAAGATGATGAAGAATTGTTGGCATGGTACAGCACAATCCCGGCCTGCAGCGTCACATATAGTGTCCAAGTATGACATGCAGAATGTACAGTATCTGTCACAAACCTGGGCTGTTGAGCTGCCAGACAACAAGAAACTGAGCAAACACTGTGTGCTTGGTTCTCATGTAAGTAATAAGTGTTTTATTGTCTGTTACGTGCATCATTCATTAAAAGTTCCAGCTGTAAAAATGTATATATAATTATTGTTATAAACTAAAAGTTGTTCTCCTTTTACATGTATCTTTTTAACTTAAATAATATTCTCTATGCATGTTGATTCTTTGTGAATATAGCTGATATTTAAAGGCAAATATGGAAAAAAAACGAATAAGAAGCCGAGATCTTTTTTTCTGATCACAGGTAAAAACTGACCCAAACATTCAATAAAACAACATACTAACTTTAAATTCTGTTTAATATTTCTTAACCATGCTTTACAATTTATTATTTAATTATGTATAATAATTATTTAAGTTTACAGCTCCAAATGTCAGCATTTAACATGTCTAAAGTCAAAACATAAAAAATACATACCAGATGTAAAAATTTTTAACATAAAAATGTATTTTTTTTAAGGGTTTGGGAAAGGGTAAATCGTTGTTGTTTTGGGGATGGAATAGACAAAAAGGGGATTACTATATTAGCCCCTGATGGGCACTCAGAGGGGCAGGGCAAAATATGGGGGTCACAGGTTGTCGTTTTTCACAAAGGCCCTCAATCTGAAGGGGAAATCGGGTAGCACTTTTTAATGTTTTTTATATTTTATAGTATTTTTTAACAAAAAAAAAAAAAGGAAAAAGAGGATTTTAAGATACGGTGCAGTCAGATTGTTTTTATATACAGAAAACAAGATTGAACTTAAAACTACAAAGAATCACAAATATTTTTGTTTTCACTAAATTGAATAATTTTTTAAGGCCCGGGTTGATTTTTATTTTTTAAAATTTTCAATTTATTGGGTTTTTGGAATTCAGTGGAACTCCTTTAAGGCTATGACCGAGTCTGATGTGAAACATTTTTGTGTGTGTTTTTGAACCATGTGTTGTGTCTGAGAACTGTATGAAAATTGTATTATGTCTGTGTCCTGTGTTTTGCTAAAATTGATTCTGATCTAGGATCTTAGTTTGTGCTTGACGTTTTGAGGTCAAAGGTGAAAAATCAAGCCAAAACTTGCTTGGTTGAACCCAAATATTTGCCTTTCAAGACAACTTCCTATGATAATCATTTTTATAAGGTGAATAGAATATTTTTTACACATGACAGATTATATATGGGAGAGGCTGGCAGCAGCGTATTGTTGTAAGTTGGCTTGACCTCTGTAACTAATGTATAATTAACATACATATATGGTCATATGAATTGATTGTCCTGTAATTACTAGTAAACTAATTTTATTATAACATTTGCAAGCATGTGGAATGGTTTTAAACCTGTTCTTGTTATTTATATTCTTTCTGAAGTATAGTTTATATATTTTTACTATTTCTTGCAAGAAATTTAGATTTTCACAAATTTACAAATTAGGGATGAACGGAAAAATTTTTTAGATTAGATTACCTGAAAGAGGCAGTATAAAATAGAAATTTTCGTGAGGAACAATATTTTCTCCATTTTTCCAAAATTTTTGAGAAATTTTTACTTTTTTAATAGATTTTATTTATTGAACATTTACCATCGATTAATTTAACACTGGGTTTTTAACTACAATTTGCCTGTATCTATAATACCCAAAATTTATATACCCAATGAGCTTTTTAAAAGTAAATATCCCCATTTTAAGCAGAATTTTATTTTTTTTTTCAGATATTTTAACTGTTTTTGGTTAAATTTTTTTTTTTCCCAAAACCCCCAAAGGGGTTGGTGAAACTTCACACACTTATTTGAAAGTGAAGTAGGAGTCGCTGCTCAAGGCCCATAACTTTTAATATAGATTTGACAGAATTATGGTCCTTAAGAGCCTTTTAAATTTAGAAAATTCTACATTATTCAGGCTTTTGCACTGGGAATAGTAAAGCATGCTATCCTACCAACACCTCTTGTTTATAATTTTTTTGCTGGTAGTATAAAATGCCTTTTCTATTAAAGCAGTGATGTTTGAATGATTCTAGATTTCAACTTTTCTGTTAGTAACTACGCTAGGTCCCAGTGCAGTTACTTTTCTCAAGGAATTTTAACCGAACTTTCATGAAACAGTCCCAGTTAAGTGCTTTGGAACATATTGATGGGGCTTTGCCATGCGTTAATTTTCGTCAACTGCTTAGTTTGATTACAATTTCCTGTAAATTTTTACTATTACTCTTGTAGTATACCATATTATTTCAGCCTAGATCACTTTTATGTGAGATCTTGTGATACAAGAACTTTGTCTTGTAGAATTTACTATTTGAAGATAGGTTGCATAAAACTTGCAAAAATTACAGGAACTATTTGAAGATTGGTTGCATAAAAATTGCACAAAATACTGGAAGTTAGTAAAACAAAGCTTTAATATCGTGTACACTGGTCAAATCTCTTTAAGAAGTACATGTTGTTTTCAAATTATCATTTTTCAGGAGAATACTGCTGTGATATTTACAAGGTCAACAACTGGGACATTGCAGGAAGTGAGCACATTACCATTAGATAGCTGTCCAGTACAGATCTTATCTGTCAAACATGAAAAGGTGGGTATATGAAACATTTTATTTTAGTCTACTTTATGCATAAGGGAAGCAACCAATATTTTTAATGTGTGCAAATAATTAAGAAGTTACATCCCTTTATATGTAAAGTACTTCGGGAGCCTGGCATTAGCTAAGATAAGATACTTAAGAGCAAATTAATCATACTTGATATGTAAATAACTTTTTGAATTTTATGCTTTGATATTGTAATCCTGATAATAGTAAGGGTCAACTAAAACAAACTGTCAAAGTTATGCAAAGTTTTCCTTATCATTTTCATTAAACAAAAAGTACGGTAGCTGCTAAGTGTATATCAGATATCAGTAAGTTTACATCAGATATCATTAAGGGTATATCAGATTTCACTAAGTTTATATCATATATCACTAAGTTATATAAGATATCACTAAGTTATATCAGATATCATTAAGTTTATATTATATATCACTAAATTTATATCAGATATCACAACTAAGTTTATCTCAGATATCACTAAGTTTATCCCAGATATCACTAAATTTATATCAGATATCACTACTAAGTTTCTCTCAGATTTCACTAAGTTTATGTCAGATATCACTAAATTTATATCAGATATCACTACTAAGTTTCTCTCAGATTTCACTAAATTTATATCAGATATATCACTAAATTTATATCAGATATCACTACTAAGTTTCTCTCAGATTTCACTAAGTTTATGTCAGATATCACTAAGTTTATCTCAGATATCACTAAGTGTATATCAGATATCACTACTAAGTTTCTCTCAGATTTCACTAAGTTTATCTCAGATATCACTAAGTTTATCTCAGATATCACTAAGTTTATATCAGATATCACTAAATTTATATCAGATATCACTACTAAGTTTCTCTCAGATTTCACTAAATTTATATCAGATATCACTAAATTTATATGAGATATCACTACTAAGTTTCTCTCAGATTTCACTAAGTTTATGTCAGATATCACTAAGTTTATCTCAGATATCACTAAGTGTATATCAGATATCATTAAGTGTATATCAGATATCACTACTAAGTTTATCTCAGATATCACTAAGTTTATATCAGATATCACTAAGTTATATCAGATATCACTAAGTCAGTGTATATAAGATTTCAATAAAAGGCAAGTAGGTTTAATGGCCATACTTAAATGGTTGTTTGTTATATAATAAGTGTACAACATTCTAATACTGGGCCATATAACCTGTCAACATCTTTATGATTTATACACTAATTATATACACTAATTATATACACTAATTATATACACTAATTATATACACTTATTATATACACTTATTATATACACTAGTTATACACACTTATTATTTTTTGATAAAATTGAACACAAATACCTCTGGCATAAACTGATAAATGAAAATGTGAGTGCCAAGTTTGTCTCAGCACTGCGTGCCATGTACAACTCTGTTAAGTCTTGTGTTCGGTTTAACTCGGAATTGTCCCCCTTTTTTGATTATACGTCTGGAGTAAAGCAGGGAGACCCCAGTTCACCTTTGCTGGCCATGTTTTTTGTAAACGATTTGATAAATAATATAAATAGTGATATGTCGGGAACTATATCCCTTGATGATATGAATCTCTTTCTATTAATGTATGCAGACGATATGGTTCTTTTTAGTAAATCTAAAGAAAACCTTCAACTTATGGTCAATGACGTCGTATCATTTTGCAATATATGGGGCCTCGAGATTAATGTTGAAAAAACAAAAGCTATGATATTTGAAAATGGCAGATCAACTCATATGGACATTAAAATTTATAATACTACAATCGAACTTGTTAAATCTTTTAAATATCTAGGCGTACATTTATTCAGTAATGGTAGTTTTCAAAGGTCACAAAAACTTATAGCGCAACATGCCTCGTTTTCATTACACAAGCTTTTCCAAATATTTGACAGAACAGTATTACCAACATCGCAAAAAATTAAACTTTTCGATATATTAGTGGGATCTATCTTAAATTACTGCTCTGAGGTTTGGGGGTTGCATCCAGCATCAGACATTGAACTTGTACACACCAGATTTTTAAGGAATATATTAGGAGTAAAGAAGTCAACAAATTTAGCAGCCCTCTATGGAGAACTCGGTCGGGTCCCAATGTTTGTTATGCGAAAATATAATATGATTAAGTATTGGAATAAGCTAATAACTCTAGACAATGATAGTATCGTAAAGAAAGTATATAATAATTTGAAACTAGATGATCAAAATAATTTAACATATAAAAACAGAAATTGGGTATCTCAAATAAAACAAATTTTGAATGAACATGGTTTTGGATACGTTTGGCTGTCACAAAAACTTGATAACACAACACTCCAATTGATAAAACAAAGAATATTTGATAACTATTACCAAAAATGGTATTCTGAAATAAACAACTCGAGCAAATTAAAAACATATGCAATTTTTAAACATGAATTCAAAAGAGAAAAATATCTAGATACTATTAAAGAAAATTACTTAAAAACAGCTTTAGCTAAATTCAGAGTCTCAGCACACCAATTAGCCATAGAAACGGGAAGATACACTAACATACCCCAAAATGAGCGTCTCTGTAAGTCTTGTAACATGCAATCTATTGAAACAGAATACCACTTTTTACTAGTTTGTCCAAAATATAGAACCATTAGAAGTAAATTTTTTAAAAGTTATTATTGTCACTGGCCTTCTTTAAACAAATTTGAAAATATCATGTGTTCATCATCAAAAAATACTTTATATAACTTAGCAAAATTCATTTTTTCTGCAAATAAAATTCGCATTGTTTAAGGTATCATATTTTGATAATATTGTATTGAACTTCTTCTCTTTGTATGTTTGTTAAGCTCTTGTTAATTGTTTACCTCATGTCTTATCCATTGAACATGTATATATGTTTATGTTGTTTATATGCTATAAACATTGTATAATGTTTCAGGCAATAAAATTTGAAATTGGAAAATTGGAATTGGATTATATACACTAATTATATACACTAATTATACACACTAATTATATACACTAATTATACACACTAATTATACACACTAATTATATACACCAATTATACACACTAATTATATACACTAATTATACACACTAATTATACACACTAATTATACACACTAATTATATACACTAATTATACACACTAATTATATACACTAATATAACACTAATTATACACACTAATTATATACACTAATTATATACACTAATTAACACTAATTATACACAATGTTTTAAATGACAATGAAATCTATTCTAATAAACCAAAGTTATTTTGTCATGTTCCGACAACAAAAGAAGGTAATTTTCCTTACCATGTTTATGTGAGATATATCTCATATTCACTCAAAACATCCTAAATGGTATTCTTAATATTTTATTTCAGGGTACAGGCTACTGCATATACGTTGCTCTGGAACATGGCAGTTTGCTGCAGTTTCAGACTTTGACAAGACATAAAGGTGGTGAGAAGTCTAATTCAAGACAGACCGTGAAACAAATCCCTGGTTACACTGATCCAACTGTTTGTATTTTGAGATCTCGTGCAGTTTATTGTATGGCATATTCTGAACAGAATAAAGAAATATGGGTGAGTGGAAATGGAAGCATTGATATAGTGAATTGCAAGGATTTCAAAGTGGACACCGATAAGAGAATCAATCTAAAGATTTTGTTACGTATATGCAAAATACATCCGGATTTGTGCGTTGGACAGATGACTTGTATAGGTTCACAGATGTTTTGTATGCTGTCATACTCGCCATTTGTGTTAGAGTTTGATGCAGGCACATATGAGTGCAAAAGTATTTTAAGTTTGGAGGAATACTCGTTGGTTTGGAAGCTGGTCTCGAGAGACTTCCCAGAATCCGATCACGATGCGTATCATGGTGTGGCAACAGCAGGATGGTCTGGTTCAATGAACACAGAAAAGTCAGATGATGATAATTCAGACAATGAGTCTGAGGATGAAACATTCGAGAGTACAAACTTTGATGACACTGCAACTTTCTGGAAGGATAAAGACAAACAGAGAGCAAAGTCACAGCCTATTAACCCAGACCATGAATCTATTGATGACTCCTTTGGTGAACCGCCTTTAATACCAAGAAGAACAAATGCCTCTAGAAAAGCTTGCAAACTTCTCGGAATTCATTGTGATGATAATGTGACGAAATCATGTATTGAAAACCAAGTTGTGCCCCCAAGGCCGCCCCGACCAATAACAGATTTTGTAACGAAGCCAAGACGAGACAAACCACCTCCAATTCCTCCCAAAGGTGCATCTGTCAGTAGTTATTGTAACAAAGGAGAAAAGTCTAAAGTATGTAAAAAAAGTTCTTTTTCGTTACCTAATCTGCCTAAACACACTGGATATAATATTGAACTTACTTCCATATTAATAGTAAAGAATAGTCTGTGGATAGGACGAAGCTCTGGTGATATTTGTATAGTTAACATTCACAGGGCAAAATCAGGAGTTGTTGATCGGTTCGGAAAATGTGTCGCAAGTATGTTTGATTTAAACATAAAACAAAAGAAAATCCACTCTGTGAAAGACTTACAACTTGTTAAAGCTGGGAAACATGTTGCGTCTGCTTACACTATAAATGATGAGAATGGGTTTTCAGACATTGAAATTGCATTCTGGGAAAGCTATGGAGTGGAGGATGTGGAGAGAATCGAAAAGTATTGGGGACATATACTTAGTGTAGAAAAAGAGCTGCTTGAAAATAATAAAGAAGCAAAGCCAGTGTCACAGGACATTGGGGAGTTTTAAAAAAGTATTAGTGTTAAGATTAAGATAACAAAAGAGAATTATCATTGTCATGCTTAACACTCATTCTTGTACATAGTCAACTGTGCAGCTCACAGTGCTGTCTTAACTTGTTGATCTTATTTTAATACCGGTAGATACATTTCTGGTCATTAATCTTTCCAATTTCTTAAATATCTAATAGAAATTATTGTGAATATGCTAATTATTGAGGGGGAAAAAAAACAATTGTAAGAAAGGTTGAACTAGTTCTTAGAAACTTAGTTTCAGACTTATGACATACATGTATGTACATAATGATAAATTGACATGTTAGAGTTACAGTCAAACTTGTATTAAGCAACCGCGCAAGGGAAACACCCAAAACGGTTGCTTAATGAAACAGTCTCTTAACCCATTGCTTCATGAGCATTTTGTGAAAAATGGCTGTTTTCATTGAAAAGTCTCCCGTTACAAGTTCAAATTGCTATAATACTATAAAAACTGCTTCAACACTAATCAAACTTGGCACAAATGTTGACTGGACCATTGTCCTTGCAACAACATGCTCAGACTTAAATTTTCTGTTACTATGGCAACGAGGGGACATCTCAAAATTGCCAAAAATCACTATTTTGCGTTGATTTTTTCCATCAAAATTGATTTCAAAGTGCTGCAACTTATCAATGGATTGAGATAGAGTCAAATGCTTTTCAGCGTTGGTTACACGTTACCTTATGATCAATCTGGGGTCATTTACAGCCTCTCAGAAGTCCAAAATTTTCTTGGCGATGAGGGGGACTCCGCCCCCCTTCAAACCCCCCAAATCTGGCAACCCCCTGATGTATCTTTTCGTTGGGGGGCCGCGCCGAAAAAGAGGTCAATTTTTTTAACAACATTTCTCAAACAAAAACAAGTGTTTGGGGCCTAAATAAGGCATATTTTCATCATTTGAGACAACAAAAAAAGGGGGGGGGTGAAAAAGGCGTTAAAAGGCGTGTATATGAAGTAATGGGTTAACTGAAAATGATGAAAATACTTGAAATTACCCTAAATCGCGTTTTTTCATGTTTAAACATGGCCTGTCATATAAATTTGAAGAAAAATTGTTGTTTTGTAGATTTTTTTATTTTTTTCATTAACCCATTGCTTCATGAGCATTTTGTGAAAAATGGCTGTTTTCATTGAAAAGTCTCCCGTTACAAGTTCAAATTGCTATAATACTATAAAAACTGCTTCAACACTAATCAAACTTGGCACAAATGTTGACTGGACCATTGTCCTTGCAACAACATGCTCAGACTTAAATTTTCTGTTACCATGGCAACGAGGGACATCTCAAAATTGCCAAAAATCACTATTTTGCGTTGATTTTTTCCATCAAAATTGATTTCAAAGGCTGCAACTTATCAATGGATTGAGATAGAGTCAAATGCTTTTCAGCGTTGGTTACACGTTACCTTATGATCAATCTGGGGTCATTTACAGCCTCTCAGAAGTCCAAAATTTTCTTGGCGATGAGGGGGACTCCGCCCCCCTTCAAACCCCCCAAAACAGAAGGGGGCACATCCCCCTTCTGGCAACCCCCTGATGTATCTTTTCGTTGGGGGGCCGCGCCGAAAAAGAGGTCAATTTTTTTAACAACATTTCTCAAACAAAAACAAGTGTTTGGGGCCTAAATAAGGCATATTTTCATCATTTGAGACAACAAAAAAGGGGGGGGGTGAAAAAGGCGTTAAAAGGCGTGTATATGAAGTAATGGGTTAACTGAAAATGATGAAAATACTTGAAATTACCCTAAATCGCGTTTTTTCATGTTTAAACATGGCCTGTCATATAAATTTGAAGAAAAATTGTTGTTTTGTAGATTTTTTTATTTTTTTCATTAACCCATTGCTTCATGAGCATTTTGTGAAAAATGGCTGTTTTCATTGAAAAGTCTCCCGTTACAAGTTCAAATTGCTATAATACTATAAAAACTGCTTCAACACTAATCAAACTTGGCACAAATGTTGACTGGACCATTGTCCTTGCAACAACATGCTCAGACTTAAATTTTCTGTTACCATGGCAACGAGGGGACATCTCAAAATTGCCAAAAATCACTATTTTGCGTTGATTTTTTCCATCAAAATTGATTTCAAAGTGCTGCAACTTATCAATGGATTGAGATAGAGTCAAATGCTTTTCAGCGTTGGTTACACGTTACCTTATGATCAATCTGGGGTCATTTACAGCCTCTCAGAAGTCCAAAATTTTCTTGGCGATGAGGGGGACTCCGCCCCCTTCAAACCCCCCAAAACAGAAGGGGGCACATCCCCCTTCTGGCAACCCCCTGATGTATCTTTTCGTTGAGGGGCCGCGCCGAAAAAGAGGTCAATTTTTTTAACAACATTTCTCAAACAAAAACAAGTGTTTGGGGCCTAAATAAGGCATATTTTCATCATTTGAGACAACAAAAAAAGGGGGGGTGAAAAAGGCGTTAAAAGGCGTGTATATGAAGTAATGGGTTAAGACAAAGCATGATAAAAAGTCAGTTTTTATACATGACATCTTTCTTTTGCGGTGGGAATGTTTTTCAATTTCATTTATATAAATCTTTAATAATAAGAACCCTCCGATAATCAAAATGGATGCTAATGTAAAAAAACAACTTTCTGATATTTATTGACAAATCAGTTTTGATTCATTACGTACATGTTTGAAACTTTTAAACTTCTCCGTTGTATTTCCTTGTTTCTAACATGAAAAACCTGATAAGTGAAGCTTTTTTCTGTTGTGCATTTTTCATTTGAAATAAACAAACTACATCTGATTGTAACGATTAATTTAATTGCTGATCAAGTTCAAGGTCAATTAAATGCAGTCTAAATATAAACAGCTAAGAGTATACACCATCTGAGTAGGGGCGGAGTGTTGCATTGTTTTATCGATATTATTGGAAAATGACATCACACATATACTTACCTTTATTTGCATACACTAAAACGGTTTGGCAAATAGAGTTTTTCACACATTTATATATTGTGTTTTAATTGTTGACACTTGTGACATTTCGAGACAGCGTTCTCTAAAAACACAATTACTTGACAGGTAAAAGTGGTCGTTTAATGAAAAGATTTATCTCTGACTAATTAGCGGTCGTTGGTCGCGTTGAGCAAAAGTCGCTTAATGCATTAAGATATATAGAGAGAAAAAATGGGGGGAATTGAAAGTGGCCGCATAAGACAAAAGTCCCTAATACACGTGGTCACATGGACAAGTTAGACTGTATTTATATACAATGTTTTATTTCAGATATATATAAAGAATTAATAATTGTCAATGATATGTAAATATGTAGGAAAAATATGCACAAGTGATTGGAGTTGTGTACTTTAAATTATGTTTAAAACTTATATTTACTTAAATGTGTTAAAAGTGATGTACAGTGTAATTTAAATGTGATAGAGTTATGTGCATTAACATTCAAATGTATAAAACATGCAAAGTGACACATTACTGTGTAGGAGTTGTACACCATGTGTGTATAAATATAATTGTTGGGTAATGCAGCATTATGAACTTGAACTCTTTTTTTTGCATAATTTTGGAGTTATGCACTTCGTAAGTTTTCATATGAATACTGAATTTTTTGCTTGGAGCATAACTCAAATGTATGTTGTGCAGTGGTGACAGTGTAACAGTCAAATGTACATGTACCTTGACATGAAAACTTGTTCCAATACAATCTATATGTATTTATATACTGCTAAAAATGTGATTTTCATTGACATTCCATGATTTTAAATATTTGATAATTGATTGATGATGACTAATACAAACATTTGTAGATGAACAATTTTATTTTATTTTAGAATATTTTTATGTACATGTTTCAGAATTCATTGCATTCCAAGATGTGTGCAATAAACTTATATTTTTATATATATATTTATGACAAATAAAACATTAATTAGAGTGTCTTTTTGTTGAAATTTGATTAGTGACCAGAGTGTATATTGACAATTTGCATAGAAGATTTATCCCATGAATATTTAATTAGTTCTGCCTGACCTTTAAACAACCAGAACTCATGAACAAAGCTTAAAAATCTTTTAAGACAAAGAGTGAAAACAATACCTAAAGACCCTGTCAAAATAAAGATCATAAAGTAATGAAGAGTCAGAATTATTACATACTTAAATTGGAAATTGGTCAGACAGGTTGTTTGTATAATTTCTAGCTCAAGTTCATATATAGTTCATTTGTGGTCAAAAACTAAGTTACATAGCCCAAATATGAAAGAACCTTGCTAACGCTGTAGAAGATACTATCCAAATATCCTGGAAATTAGTCAGAAAGGTTGTTTAGATGGTTTCTATGTCATGTTTGAATATGGGTCATCTGGGGTTAAAAACAACCCATATTATGGAAAAGTTTTTTCACACAACCCATATTATGGAAAAGTATTGTTTCAAATTACATTCTAGAGGTAATATTTTCATCCCAAATATCCTGAAAATTTGTCAGAAAGTTTGTTTTGATGTTTTCTAGCTCAGCTTTGAACATGGGTCATCCATGGTCAAAATCTAGTTCACACTGACCAAAAATGGAAAATCTTTGTTATCACTCTAGAGGTTTAATTCTTTATTCATCCTGGACATTGGTCATTTCTATGATTTTCAGTTCAGGTTTGAATAAGGGTCATATGAGGTAAAAAAAAAAAAAAGGTCACAGCACATAAAAAGGCATATATGAAAAAAAAACTTATTAAGATTTGCAGTGTTTCAGATATAAATAATATGATATCAGTTTAAGTTTATGGCATTTTATTTAATTTTACCAATGAAATATGGTGCTATATCAGTCAAATATATTTCATATTTTTTAAAAATAAGTATGAAATATAAATATGAAAGTGGGTTTAGTCAAAACTCATATTTATTTTAAGGGACTTCTTTCGCCATTTTGTTTGAAAAATCTGATAAATACAAAACAACTTTTTGTTGAATTATGTTTTGAAAACTATCTAGAATGATAGAAAGTGGTCTAAGAAAATAAATCTGAACACCAGTATCTTTAATTCAGTCATTAACGCTGTACAGACATTTAAAGAGTTGATTTCGTGACGTCACAATGTAGCACCAAATATCGCGTGCAAAACAAGACGCATCTATAAATAATATATTACTGTGCGCTGTACAATTGCAGCAAGCAAGGGGGTTCTTAGCCATTTTTCTTTAATAATGAAATTAAATAAAAAGGTTATTTTTTTGTGAAATATGGTATATATTTTCACTCAACATGATAAAATGCCACATACTTACACTCGCCGTCCAGGCTAGTGAAAATATGTGGCATTCCACATGTTTCGTGAAAATATATTCCATATTTCACTTAAACGAAAAAATATCCTCTTAATACCTGCCTTTTATTCATTGCTAA